GAACAGCCCCTGGCCTGCCCCCCGAACCAGCCCAGCCCAACATTGCATTGCAGCACCACAGCTTCGCTAGTTCGCCGTCTCCCGTCTCCCGAACGGTACTGTACCCAGGGCCCTACGACGACTGTACTTACGCTCTCCCCAGACTCCATACCGTGCAGTGCCACTGTACGGCACAAAGACCATACAGACACTACTCTGCATCTAGTATCTACTGTATGGACTAATCCACTAGTCCCAGACACCTCCCACTCCCACCCCCCTCCCCCCAAAAGAGAAAGTAAAAAGTGCCCGCTACGACTCTAACCTCTATTTGGGACCTGAACGGATGACGCTACATCCACAACATGCGTGGGACGCTCTCCACTTATTCCTCTTCAGAAAAACCGTTCTGGTCCTCTTTCGTGCTTCCTAGTGCTCAGACCCAGACAAGAACTCCACCACCGCCTCCAGAGTCGGTAGAGCTCTGACATATAGATCCGCCTGCAGATCCCCGTCTTGAGGATCGTCTTCATATAGTGCTTCTCTTTCCTATCTGCATCTGCGTCTGCGTCTCACACATCTTCATTCTTCGAGTCAGGACTACTCACTCTCTCCCATTCTTCAGCCGATTGCTTCTATCCTGAGAGTAGAAGTCCTGGACCTGATTCAGCCACCGCTGCTCGCCCCGTCTAAAGCTTTCGACCGCATCCGCTTTACATACCCACCGCCTGGAAGCCGTATACATAATACCATCTCACCATCTATATACATATACATATATACAGATACACACTTCGTCGTCGCCAAGAACTTCTCAACCACCAAGGCACACCGGTCAAGGGGTCTGTTACCATAGCTCAATCCTTCATATCAGCTATTTGGCCCGCCCGCGTATATACTGCTTTATATATGGTCATAGCGATTGCCAGATCCCGCCACTTCTCAACTCTTCTTGCTATCAATTAGATTCAAGGATCGAACTTCAGCAGTTTGAAGACGCCCACATTTGCTACCCCATCAAGCAGACCCTATTGGAGCTACCATTGAGTCGCTACGAAGCACGCATAGTATGTAAATTGCCAGCTTCCCCATCTATGAACGTCGTTCCCTATTCAGTTCAGATCCTGACTTTTTCAGATACCCATATCCACATCCAACCAATTGATAACGTTTGGACTACCGCCTTCACCATCTCGCCACTTCTCAGACACTCCCAGCGGGGCAAGAATTCCAATTAATTGGACCGTGATCCTGTTTCTATTCGGCGGCACTTCTGAATTTTCCAACTCCAATTCATCCGGCTCGTGCGGCGCACCTGAGTGCATTCTTGATTTTAATTCTTATTGCCTTGCTCTCCGAGGACCTTCAGCGCCGAGAATAGGGAGGAGCTTGTGAGTAGGAAGTCATACCACCGTCGGCCTAAGCTATCGAAGAACGGAACACCACTTGGATCGCGAGAAAGGATTCAAGATCAGTTGCTCTGGAAGACCACGAAAGGAAAATCAGAATGGACGTTATGGAGTTAGTGGAGAACGAGCCGAATGCGCGCCCATTCCAGTGTGATTGGCAAACATGCAACAAGGTTTGTCTCCTACGATAGAGACTTCACGGAGCACCTTGGCTAACACTGCCAACAGAGTTTCAACAGGAAGTCAGATCTTCAAAGACATTATCGAATCCATACGAATGAGCGACCCTACTCATGTATGACGCCTGGCTGTGGTAAAAGCTTCATCCAGCGGAGCGCATTGACTGTTCACATCCGTACTCATACCGGAGAGAAACCTCATCAATGCCAACATGTTGGCTGTGGCAAGAGATTTTCGGATGTAAGTCGAGAGAGCCTCCCACTCCGCCAGTCGATGCGCTAACACCAGTCTAGTCATCCAGCCTTGCAAGACATCGTCGCATCCACACTGGAAAGCGGCCATATAAATGTGCCCATGAGGGTTGCTTGAAGAGGTTCGTTGACGTTGAGTTATTAGGCTAAATCCAATACCTATGCTGACCTGATCGATTGTAGCTTTTGCCGAAAGACAACAATGGTCAAGCACCAACGACGGTCACATCAACGAGGGGTTCACTCATCAGAATTGGAGGATGGTGAAACTTCCGACTCTGATAGCGGGGAGTCACCTTCCACACCTCAGCATCCCGGCCAAATGCAATGGCCACAGAGCGTCGCCGTCGCAAATCACCATGGCATCCCACAAGGAGGCCCTCAGCTCCACCGGGCTCATTCATTCGCCGAATTTGGACACCATCAAATGGACGGATATCATATACAACAAGGCTATAGCCACCGACACAGCGTTTCCGGTGGTGCCCAAAATTTCAACGGACCAATCCCGGAACAATCGCAACCCCCTCCTATGATTCATCGAGCCCCGAGCCTTCCTCCTCACTCCTCATATTACGTTCCTGAACAGAACAACCCCGGCGTAGCCACCCTTAACACGAATGCGCCCCCGCCAATACAAACGTATCAGATCCCACGGCAGCAAATGGAAAGCCATGTGCACGAAATGAGCCCCAGCAGCTACTCGTCCGCCTCAAGAGAAAGCCCTGTATCTCAAGACCCGTACTATACGCATCACCCAACTCAATCAGCTACGTACGCCTTACAGGCCTCCTCTCCCATTGAGCAGCAGCAGGCCATGATTCATTATCAACAACTACCACCACAGCACATTCCTCAGCAGCAACAGCCTCAGCCAACTTCTGCCCCTGTTCCTCAACCAGCCCATGTGCAGGCACAATATGAACCCGCACCTCCACAGGACGGCCAATGGTACGACAATGTTGCTTACCAACAACCAGTCGCGGTAATCAGCCACATCCCGGGCTTCCCACAAACACATATATTTCACAGCCCGTGGCCGCAAAAACTGGAAGCATTTGACGATCCTTCGTTGCAGATGCCGAGTGCTCGGATCGAGAACCTCTAAACGTGTTTATAATGCACTAATGTCTTTATCTTCCCTGTTCAATACCGTCCAGCACGACAACCCCGTTTTTCTTATCAGCGACTGTCTCATTCTGCGACACGTGATACCCAGAGACACTGCAGGAGGGAACAGAATCATGCATTCGACCTCTCATCATCAAAAAGGGCATATATTTTATATTTTATCGCCATCTTATTTATAAACCACCTTACGGCAAGTCATGATAACACATATATCTTTACTACATACCACCATCCATACCAGCGACGATTTCGATGACGAAAGAGCGATACCTAAGCCGTCTATTCTTCCACACCAACACCATTCTCCTTTGAGAGGCATTATTTTCCCTCGCGCGGGACTGGGGCGGCTCTACTTTTTCTAAACGGGAGGTTGTTACATTGGAGTTTTAATCCCTCTTATTTATTTTTCGTCGTCTTTTGGCTTGCCATACCCCCTTGTCGTTCCATTTGTTGTTTCATTCGTGGTTCCTATTGTTACACATTACCGGTGGTGAATCCCTTTTTCAGGTTTTTTTTTTTTTATATAATGGAACGGTTGCATGTACGCACGCAATAATGAGGTTGCGCTTCACGGGGTTATGAGGATGAATGAGATGTGGCCGTCTATGTTGCCCATGCTTTGCATTGGGAAAGGGTTTGAGGAGTACGGGGGTGAGGATGAGTTACCATGTACTATTAGCTGCGCTTGGGTTATTGTTTTGGGATCAAATGGGAGGAAACTGGTGCCTTCTGTAGCAATAAAAGGCTCTGTACAAAGACTACACATATGTGCCTATTATTACCTACAGTGAGTTAACATATTTGACGCCACTTGATCCAAACTGCCGACTCGTTGGTGGTACTGGGCTGTAACGTTGTGGTATCTGCTCTCTCGTTTTCGTAGCTGTGTGCGACATGCACGTGATCATACCGGATGTTTTATAAATATAACACTCGTAAGTACGATGCACAATGATGTAGTATCACAATAATAAACGTTAGACTTTTAAGTGATGCCACTGATGTGGCATTCCTGGCTGGGTCGCCTTCTTTATTGTTGGGGAGCTTATTGGGCTGTCGGCAGTGATTTGGAGTCGAGTGTGGCGAAACCTGGTTTGGTGCCTCAGGCCCCATTTAAAAAAGCTTAATCATCGGCACGACCCCAAATCTTCAACCGACATCATCCGTCCTTCACAGCGCCCTGCTATCGACAACCTGTCAACTCCGCAAGTTGCGACACTTCCATTCATTATCGACGCTCTTTATTGTGCGCCATAATATATTCCCATAGGATCTAGGCTACTAGCCTCGTTGAGGGGGCTATTGAATCTGTTGATGTTGAGTCCGAACTCGGCATCCAGAATGGCGCTTCAAGCCTCCGCCTTGCCTGTATGACCACCCGTATTCCTTCTACACAGAAGTATATACTGACAAAGACTTTATAGGGCATTGCGGCAGCCGCGACTAAAATGTCGCCCTCGATATCGAATGCGATGGCCGCGTCATGGAGAACTTTGGGACGAAATACACAAATGTCGCCACAATCGAGTTTGCTGAGAGGGAGAGCCTTTCAAGGAACAAGGTCATATTCATCAGGATTACCAAGGGTAGGCTCCTTACATACTCATAGATGAAAGTATAGATGCTAACTGCTTTGCAAGTCTGCCGAAAAAGAACTTCCAGATGCCTTTCGCCACCTTCCATCCCCGTTTCCCTCGAGCGTCAGCCCCCGAACCCTTCGCCAAACACCCTTCGATATTAGGTACGCGATGGCGGCGGTACCTAGAGTGGCTCATGCTGGTATAACTGGTGGTGCTTTTACCGCCCTATCCCAGCGCCGGCAAATGTCTACTACATTACATTCCCAGTTTCAACGTCCTAGTTCCCTTTCGAAGTCGACGATGAAACCTCAACGACGAACCATCTTCGGCACGAGCAACAACTCAAGAAACCTCGCAAACCTAGAGCAGACGGCCAACAAGAATCCGAATAGCGCCACCGCTCAGAATGCCTTCTACCAGGCGCTATTGAGGGCAGGCATGCCTGCTATTGTTGTGGAACGGTATCAGACAAATGCCTTTGCAAGCAATACCGCTTGCGAAAATGCATTTCAGCGCGCTCTTGCTTCCCTTGGCCAGGTAGGCGGTTCGGCTATGACCCCACAAGTTGGTGGGCAGAATAGCCCCTACAGCAACGCCCAATTACAGGCTATCGGTCAAGCTGTCGCTGCTTCATCCCAAGGCGCCAATGTTAGCATCGCAAGAGGCCAAGGCGCTGCTCCTGGTTCCGGAGGTAGAGATGCCCCGCTTCATGTAGTGGTTGAGGAGACCATCGGCGGAACAATCTTCAAATGGGTAAAGTTCGTCATGTATTTTGGTTTAGTCACCTATCTATGTTTGATCGTCGTGGCAATGCTCCTGGAAACCTTCCAATCCTTTAAGAGGGCTGGGGGAGCAAAGGCCGACAACGAAGCCAAATCGGAGCAACAGAATGTCAGATTTTCTGATGTTCATGGCTGTGATGAGGCAAAGGAGGAACTTCAGGAGCTTGTGGAGTTCTTGAAGAACCCAGACAAGTTCTCAAACTTAGGTGGCAAACTTCCCAAAGGCGTTCTGCTTGTCGGCCCTCCTGGTACTGGAAAGACACTTCTCGCGCGGGCCGTTGCCGGCGAGGCTGGCGTCCCGTTCTTCTTTATGTCTGGCAGCGAGTTTGACGAAGTCTACGTTGGCGTTGGTGCGAAGCGAGTCCGGGAACTATTCTCCGCCGCCAAAGGTAAATCTCCCGCGATCGTCTTCATCGACGAACTTGATGCTATCGGAACCAAACGAAACGCTAGAGATGCCGCCTATCATAAGCAGACACTCAATCAACTCCTGACCGAACTGGATGGTTTTGAGCAAAACAGCGGTGTCATCATCTTGGCGGCAACTAACTTCCCTCAACTCTTGGATAAAGCTCTAACCCGACCTGGACGATTCGATCGAAATGTCGTCGTTGGCCTTCCTGATGTTCGTGGACGGATGGAAATCCTGAGGCATCACATCAAGAAGGTCGTCGCTGGCAAGGACGTGAGCCTCGAAACACTGGCACAAGGTACACCTGGCTTTTCTGGAGCTGAGTTGGAGAATGTCGTCAACCAAGCTGCTGTGCATGCTAGCAAGGCCAAAGCTCAAGCGGTTTCGATGTTCGATTTCGAGTGGGCTAAGGATAAAGTTATGATGGGTGCCGAAAAGCGGAGTATGATCATCACCGAGAAGGAGAAGGAGATGACTGCATATCATGAAGCCGGTCATGCGTTGGTAACAATGTTCACCCCCGGAGCGAATCCCCTACACAAAATTACTATCATGCCACGTGGAAGTTCTCTGGGAATGACGGTGCATCTGCCAGAGATTGACAAATACTCGATGGCCTTCAGCGAATATGAAGCACACATTGACGTGTGTCTTGGAGGAAAAGCCGCTGAAGAACTTATTTATGGCCCGGAGAATGTCTCAGGTGGCGTTGCAGGTGTATGTCCTCCCCTTGATCGCCCAGTTATACGCGACTATGCTAACTAAAATTTACAGGATCTCCAAGCAGCTACTCGGCTTGCGTACGAAATGGTAACAATGGTTGGCATGTCGCCCAAGCTAGGTAATGTTGACCTGGCGTCCAATCATGACAAGCTCTCTGCTGGCACCAAACAACTCATCGAATCTGAAGTCCGGCGAATCATCGAGGAGGGCCGTGCGCGTGCGACACGACTTCTCGTGAGTAAGCGCAAAGAACTGGACTACCTCGCCAATGCCTTGTTAGACTATGAGACTCTGGACCGCGATGAGACCTACAAGGTTATCAAAGGAGAAAAGCTGGAGGGCAAGATGATCATGCCTCGTGGAATTATTAAAGTCCCTAATGTTGGAGCCGTCCATGAAGTCCCACAGATTCCCGGCAGCGCACCTGACGAAAGTGGTTCCAAGGAGCCGCCCAGTGGTGCCATAGCGTAGATGTGAGGGAGGGGCGTATGGGCGAGCACAATCACAACTCATAGTTCATATTTTATCTTGGGGAAGGCGTTCAGGCGTGCTTACGATAAAGAAACGCATCTTCCAATACTCAAATATGGCGGGTACTTCATTGGACTGGGGCTAAGTAGCGTTTAAGTACCGCTTGATAAGGACATCTAGGAATGCTGGGGTTGTCGGAGCAAGCTAGCAAGTGAAAACCGTTTCCTTTGTACCAGAACGAGAGAGTGTAGTGCGGGGTGTGCGGAAGGGGCGTGATGTTGGTGAAGCAAGGAAGTAGAGATTGAATAGCGTGGGATTCGTTCTATTGCACACTATAGGGTCAGCGCTTTTGTAGGATAGAATTTGCATAGGTAGAATGGGGACTTGGGGAGCTGGGCAGCTAATATGCAAGCAATCCAGCGACTTGTTCAGTTAGTAATCAATGCTGCGCCAAAAGTTATTACAAGGTGCCGCAGATAATGAGATTTCCGATGGATGCATATGTGACAGCTACTACTTTCGAGATCAGGTCTCTTATACTTCCTGGCCCCGCCCTATACGTCTGCCATCTTTGTTTATAAGGTCGCCCATTCGTCCCCAGTTTAATTAACTCTTGGCTCAGAACTAAACTTCAACGTAAATTTTGTTTGATATTATTTGTGGGTGACGGGTATCTTCTTCTTTGCATCGTACAATACATAGTAATGGTACAGGAACCCCCCTCCAACTATCAAGTCTCTACAGGCAGAGGTGGAAACAAACCCTCAAATGGCCCTTTGCCAGGGGTGACTTTCGGCTCCCCGTACGTAAAATCCGCCCCAAATTGGGCATCCTCAAAGGTACGTCGTGCTTCGTCGACGCCCATCATATCGAGAAGTTGTGCTGCTTTCGTGGGCATGTATGGCTGCAGTAGAATGCCGACAATCCGGATGGCTTCAGCGCAGTGGTAAATCGTGCGCTCGATGCGGAGTTGGTTGAGGTCGACGAGGTCGTAGACTCGATCGCCGCTTTCGTCCTCCGTTCTCGGGGTGTGCATGTCTTTGGTTTTTGCAAGGAGCCAGGGGGAGTTGAATTGCAGATATCTATTCGTCTATGGGATTGTCAGTAACTGAGGACTGTGGGTGCTAAAGTAACATTACCTCGTAAACAGCATCCATGATGAGCTGTAGTGCTGCTCCTGGATCAAGTTTCTCCATTTTCATGTTGACGACTCGAGAGAGCTCGCTCAGCATCTGAGCTTGCTCCCTGGTAGATTTGCCAGCTCTACGGAGTGTATCATCTCTAGCTGCTTCAACGGATTTCCGCACATCCCAGATCTTGGGCCGCGTTATTCTGCTCACGAGGTTGCCGATCCCGCCTTGAAGTCCCTTCTTGTATCGTTCCACAATTAGGTGATTCCCGTAGTCCGAATCATTTGCGATTCCTCCGTCGTGTGCAAGGTAGTACCTCATCACATCAACACCGAAACGGTCCATGGCGAAAGTTGGATTGACTACATTGCCAGTGGACTTGGACATTTTTTGATTGCCTAGAGTCCAGTGGGCATGAGCGAGAATTTGTTTTGGTGGTTCAAGACCCAGTGCGAGAAGAAAGGCCGGCCAGTATATACAATGGAATCGAACGATGTCTTTGCCAATAACTTGGACATCTGCTGGCCACCCCCCTGCATTCTGTTGTCCAGGTGCCCATGGATAGCCAGCTTTGGTGATGTAGTTGACCAACGCATCCAACCATACATATATTGTCTGGCTGGAATCATCCGGGACCCGAATCCCCCATGTGAGCCGCTCCACAGGCCTCGAGACAGACAGATCCTCCAATCCTTCCGAAACCCATTTAACGACATCTTTCATTTTAGTCGCAGGCACAACAAATTCGGGGTTCGCCTTGTAGAACTCGAGCAATTTATCTTTGAAGGCAGAAAGTCGGAAGTGGTAATTAAACTCGGAACTCCATTCGACCTCCTTGCCAGTCTCTTGTGATGCCATGAAAGTCTTCCCAGTGTATGGATCCAGCCGCTTCTCAATGGCGGACTCGGGGTAATATGTCTCATCGCTGACAGAATACCATCCTTCATGCTTCGATTGGTATATATATCCCCGGGTTTTTAACATGAACCAAAAGTATTGCACAGCATCTTTGTGAGCTTCGTCTGTCGTCCGTATAAAATGTTCGTTCGACAGCCCTACTCGTTCTGCGAGTTGCACGAAGGTTTCCGATGTCAGATCGCAGAACTCCTTCGGCGGGATGCCCGCTTTTGCAGCTGCCTGCTGGATCTTCATTCCATGTTCGTCCGTCCCCGTGCAGAGGATTGCCCGCCTCCCCCGTAAGACTTGCCAGCGTTTGAGGATGTCCGTGAGGACCATCGTATAAAGGTGTCCGACATGAGGGGCTATCAGCACCGAAGTTAGTTGTTTGCCCAATTTATGCGTGGGAGTGATGCCTAGTTACCAGCATTGACGTAGAAAATCGGGGTTGTAATATAATATGGCTTCTCAATGGCTGGCTGGGCGGTTGAGGACACCGGTCTTGACCAGCCTTTAAATTTGCATGCTTCACAAATCCAAGGGGATGTCCACGCAGATTTAGTCTTGATCCTGGATCGTACTTGGCCGCGGAGGGTCGAGGACAGGAGTCGAACACTCATTGCTGTTACTGAATAACATTGCCGGTAGCGCGTGGTGAGGCCTGTGAGTCCAAGAATTTCGGACGCGGATTTGGTCCCGCGTTGTGATGCGGCCGCATTGACCGATTTGCAGACTCAAGCTCATGAACTCAAACCCAACCTCGACGTAACCCCACCATCCACATCCACATCCACCAAATTCGGAGATTGAACTTTGGATAGGTTGGCCACTACTAATTCTCAGTTGCAGCTAGAGCCCACGCAGACGGATGATTTCATGACCAGCAGGCTGCTGAGCCCTTTCTATACCTGAAGCATCAAAATGGGAGGACTTTCGGAGGATATGGAAGTCAAGGTGTCTGTCGAGGGTATGTATTCTATTTCCCTTCCGGTTCGCATAGGCACATGGGCAGTATTAATAGCTTTATAGCTGCGGAAACCTTTGCCAACACATATTACGCAAATTTAAACAAACCGCATGGCGCGAAAGAGCTACAAACTTTCTACGTCCAGTCGAACCCTGCATCTCCTCTGAAACCGGATATCACTCTCAACGGGAACCTCGTCAAAGACCCCACGGAATTAGAAGCTATATTTGAGAAGCAGCCAGCTAAAACGCACTACGAGGTCCAGTCATTTGACTGCCATGTCTTGAATCCGAATTACAACGTTGGAGCCCATGACGATTCATTGGAGCCGAACAAAGCAGGAAAGAAGATGAGCATTTTGGTCTTGATCAGCGGAAGTGTGAGATATGGAGAAGAGGAAACTCAGGGTTTTACCGATAATATTGTGTTGGTGCCGAACTGGGAAATACTTGGCAAGCCTCCAAAGGGGAAAAGAAAGTGGCTTATTCAGAGTCAAACCTTTAGGGTCATACTCTGAATGACTGGGCAAGATCAAGCATAGTTATAAAGATAGCTAGACTGGCTAAGCCAAGCCCGAGATGCTAAATAGGTAGCCCGGAGGCGGTTGGACGACCTCAACAGCTAGGACCGTGTCTTATCCACGCTCCGTGGCGTATTTTGAGGCCCTTGGGTCCCGAAAGAGGAACAGATGAGATAGGCCAAGTGTATACCCAAGTCTACCTTAACAGCCAAACCATGAGAGATGTTAGGGGAGCCATAGTGTTGGCTTCCTCTTTAAACGTGGCTTCAGGTGACAATATTATACCTGGTTCACTTGGACAGGGAATTTAAAAAGTCATCATCAGATTGAGCCACCTAATAATACCTGTATTGTGCTGCTCTTGCGTGCTAACCGGTCGCCTTCAATCTCTTACCTACCTAAGGCATCTCATCTACGCAACTTACCTTTCAACTTCAACACATTTTTACCTTCCACCCGCACACCTCCGCTACACACCTCATTCAACCCTTTTCGATGATATCTTACCATCTACTTTTCTCTCCGCAGCCATAACCTTGGGCCAGTTACTCTTCCAACCAATTGGCTACATTTGGCTATCCCTCCATCTTGATATTTCTAGGTGGCAGGTAGGTGCCTGGTCCTCAAGCTACCTCCCATCCTCAACACTCACCGTTTAAGTCTTCGACGCAGCTCTATTCCAACCCACACTATCCCTCCAAATACACTTCTTCAACGGCAATTCTTCTTTAACAGCAACTTCTCAGCAACTTCAAGTTCAACTTCAACCACAACTTCTACTCGGGCGCAATTCCCTTTCAAGCTCAGCTTTTATCTTTCTCAGCTTTACTACTTCAACCTTAATTTACAGTACGCTGCCTATTATCTATACTCACCTTACTTCTATTCTGACCTTGGGAAGCAGTCCAGCTTCGGTACCCCCGCGCTCTCCTCAAGCATTTTGCAATTCGAGTTTAACAATCAGCATCCGCCAACCCACAGTTCTGCACAATGAAGACCCAGATTCGAGGCCCCCGGGAAGATTCCGTGGAATTGGAAGTCGTTCTCAAGGTTAATGGGGAAGCGGTACAGGAATTTGGCACAGCCCAGAATGGCAACAAGGCAAGCTGTTATGTGCCAGTTTCTGAAGGAGATATTGTCGCAGCTCGGTCGACTACAACATTGGCTGCTAATGCTGAAGAGTTTACCGATTTAATCGTGGATGGAATTCTACGAGCAACATCAACTATCAAAGTTGGCAGGGGAGCCAAAGGTAACCATAATGTTACCTTTGACAGGGCTCTATTTTATAGGTATCATCGGGAGAAGCAAAGGGGGTTGAAGTTGGCGCGGATGCAGATCCAAACGCGAAATATTAAACAAGGTATGTGTGTCGGCTTGCTATTCCAGGCCTTTTATACTCCTAAATCTAACACTTTCAGATCTCGCTATGATACCAGGCCAATTACCTTCCGCTGTCAGCACCATTGAGCTTCAGCATTGGCGGAAGTACGCGGATCAACCATCCACATCAACTGCCACAACTACGGATGCAGGTCCTAACCCGGACAGCAGAGCTCCAAACCTGGAGCAGTATCCTCGCTGGTCGGATCTCAATCTCCATATGCCGACTAATGAGCCTTCGACGTTTGAAGTAGGGTAGGTACCAGATACAAATATCAGGAATTCAGCGCTAAGCAATCAAGCAGATTCACGGATAATAATAACAACCCCACCAAAAGTAATAAAGACCGACTTCTCGAAGAGCGCCTCGGCTTTAAGTTGTTCAACACTTTCACGTTTCGTTTAGCTTCATCGTCAGATCTGCATGGGCTTGGCTTCACAAGTATCCAAATAGATCAATCTCTCACAGCGGCACCAGGACTGAATCAAAACCAAAACCTGCCCTCTACCCTCACTACACAAGGTCATCAATCTCCCACTTTGAATGACGAATCTAAAAGCCAGGAAGGTGCTCATGATGTTGTCAATTTGCTAAGCAGTCTTGACAACACCCCGAAGAACGACAGCCTTTACAATGGAAACCAAGGACTCTCCAAACTCTCTCATTTGCCTACTGCTACTGCTAAGCTGCCTTTACTCGGTAATTTTCCACCACACTCATTCAACATCGGTGACCAGGCGGCTCGCGTTGGAGGGCCATCTATCCAGTCGTCAACACCGATCAGAATGAAGCCCTTGGTACTCCCAGGCGCAGAGCCAGCGCCCGGAGGAGTTTTGGGTACCCCGACCTGGGAGCCATTAACTCCGCCGATATCCTCGAGAAAACGTCAGCCGTTAACTCAGGAATTCGTATTTGGAGGCTCTCCAATAAATGCAGAGGACCCAAAGCTTTTCTCCCTTCCAAGCCAGCCAAAGCCAGCCGCACCGGGTGTCAGATGTGGCACACCTAATACTGACCAATGCCATCGGACTCCCGTTCCTGAATCCAACCAAGGTGTTGGATTGGGCTTGAACCAAGCATGCTTTGAGTTTGGGGGTCAGCGGGCGTCCAACAAATTGGCCTATGAGAGGTGTCTTGCTATTATTCAACAAGTATCACATAAGGAAAGCCCACACTTGGCTGCACCTGGGAAGGATCCCCAGATATTTTCATCGCCCTTCAGACAGCATTGTTCTTCTCAATCTGAGATTCCTAAGGGGCCCGCAGATTTTGTGCCAACAAGCCTAGTGGCCTGTCCCGCAGTTCTATCAAGTTTGCAGGGAGAAAAACGCAAGGCGGACTATATCAGTGGCGCCAAAACAAAAATTCTTGAAGTTGGCGAACCAACAAAGTCCACCATCTGCCCTTCTCTAAGAACCAAGGAAGAAATGCAGCGACGGACGCAAGAAGCCCACCACCGGATTGCGGTTGCACGGAGGGAAAGGGAACGACTTCAGGAGGAAGAGAGATTGATCCTAGACGCTTATCTGCTTGAGCAGCAGGCTAAGCAGCTGGAGAATGAGAATGCCGAACGACAGGTCTGTGTGCGGCCCCTTAGTTGGTCTATCTAAGTGCTAACGATTATGCAACTAGGTCAAAATTGACGCTATGTACGACTACAGCAGCGTCTGATTTCTTTCTGAATGAGACATTCTCTGCGCGAGAAAGTCTCATTTAAAAATTGAGAAGCTAGCCTTTAAACACTGCATCTTAAGCCGTTCTATTATGCGCTATTGCACTACATTCGTCCATTCTCCCGATTCTAGATTTAAGGGATTCGGGGAACCTCCGCCAAGGATATGCTACGCATTAGCATCTTATTTGGATACGCGGAATATCTCGAGTTATTTCGAAGAAAACAATTATTAAACTCAAAATCAGACCACACTCGTTTGCATACAGGAATCCGAATTATACAAGGATTTGGGGAGTTATCGTTTCATGAAAGCTTTCTGAAGGTTGATCTGATCTGAACACTGGCAAGAAACGCGATATCACATTAAGCATATATCAATTGCCTGATACTGAAAAGTTGATCAGATCTGGGAGTTTGGGGAATACAATTATGGAGGCAACAAAATTTGAGAACTCACACGTTGCCTTATTAGCACACACAAGAACCATTGCAGAATGAGGATAAAATTTGCTCTTTATAGTGCTGACTGCTTTGCTAGAGTAGGTTGCTGGTGATACCTCGTAATCGTAGAATTAACAGCCAATTTCCTTCGCATATCCCCAGATTCTCAAACGCCCTTCAAGAAGGGCTAGCATCCAGCCTCGGATAATACTACACACATTGAGACCCGACTATAAGCCCGTGGGATAGGCTCATGACTGTACGGATTGATCCGCCGTCGTGAAGCGGGGCATCGAAATTAGAGCGGACATCTTGGTCAAGGTCGTGGAGTCCGTAGGTTGGCCCTCACTCTCTCGAGGAGCTGTTCTTTCGTGTCATTTGGGTTTGGGTGTAGATTCCTCTAAGAGAATTGAGAATTAGCAATAATTCGTGCAGTTATTGAATGTCATGTCAGGGATGCTTCTCCTTGACTTGGGAGGAGTCACGTGACTATTAAATTACAAGTCCTAGCCAACTTAGTTATTTGACCTATTCCGTTGCAAAGTCAAATATACAACGGGGAGAAGGAGGATAAAATACGGGGAAGCGTTACCGAAGCCAACCATCTCCGCAATTCTTCCTGCGTCCAAGTTCCCGGCTCTACTCGCCGCTCAGTTATTTATACTAGTGAAATGTCTGGGGTTGCGGAATGAAAGACCTCCTGTTGGATCTGCTTCACGTGGAAACATGTCTTGACCCCATATTGACCACGCTGCGGCTGCCGTTACAACTCCTGCGAAAGCTATTAAAGTCCACGATATCAGCTGCAAGCTGTAGAGGGCTAATGTCGAGGTGGCGAGTTACCTAGTAATGAGTTCTAAGCACAGTTAGTGGAGACTTTTGATTCAGTTTTGAGGCATGCAAGTACTTTAGAGCTCAGAGCTTTGTCTAAAGGCGTGGGCATTCTGACTGAATAGCTGGGGACTTGGAGTAGAAAAGTGCGGCGTAGAAGACAACGTAGTAATGAGGCAGGAGTGAACGCTGAATATAAATATGGACCAGCAATTTTTCCTATCTCGGAAAGCCTAAGTCAAACCCATGTGAATCAAATGGTTCTTAATGCAAAACGAAAGTACATATAACATCACTAGCAAGTGAACACGTTCCTGTCAAGAGCTCGAAAGCTGGAGACCGCGTCACCAGCCTCACATGACTGTGCCACAAGCATCGGAACCTCAGGCACTTATCGCTCTTGCCCTCCCGTTATCACCGAACCGAGCTTGCTTACATAACCCGCCCACAACGAATTTCTCCATCAACAGCACCCACCACATCCGAAATCCACGTCCAATTCTCAACGAGATAGTATCTACAAAACCGCCAAAATGCCTCGCGAAATTTCAGATATCAAAAACGTGAGTTTGGCCTCCCTCAATGCGTCAGCACCCTCACGTATTGCGCGATTTTGAGGAGACGGAGACTAATCGAAGTTTGTGAAATAGTTCATCGAGATTTGCAGACGCAAGGATGCCTCTTGTACGTTACCTCCCTGATGCGAAATACATACCCTTGAGGGATACTCGAATTTGAGGATGGATGAGTAGAATTAAGACACCAGAAAGGAAAGAGGAGAGTTCCAAGGGAGCAGAGACTGATTGATGGCGAAACAGCTGCCCGGATAAAGCGCAACAAGAAGACGGCCATTGTCAAGTTCAAGGTCCGCTGCCAACGACACCTGTACACGCTTGTCTTGAAGGACTCGGAGAAGGTTGAGAAGCTGAAGCAATCGCTACCACCCAGTACGTCTTGCCCCGCGAAGCGCTGCGTGTTGGAATTAGGGAATAGACGGGAATTCTGGAGGTCTTCAGGACCAGGGTTCTTGAGACAATGCCTCAGAGAATATCTACTGACTTAAATTACTGCAGATCTCACCATCGCCGATACCCCCAAGAAGAATGCCAAGGGAAAGCGGGTAGCATAAATGTCACGATGAGATGAAAGGCTACAGGGACGTTTCTTGAGTGTTGACGGCCGGCATGATGAGTACAGGAGGAATTATGCGTGGACTTGATTTGCAAAACGGCGTCTGGCATACCATCATACCATGGCATTTGGTACTCGTAGAATTGCTGAGCTGTAATGAGATAGCAAAGTAGTATTATGACGAGCCACCCACAACCAAAACACTTCTCCTGAATTACAGCTTACCACAACCTCTGTGTCTCCAAGTGGGGGAATTGGTATCCGTGTGAATTTTCTTACTCTTGCTCCTGGCGATAATGTCCAATTGCGAGAAAGTTGCCTACCTACCTTGGTAGGTATTTTGTGGGGTAAATAACCCGTGACTGACCACCATTTCCTTCGACGTAAGCATGTCTGCCTACCTAGATACCTGGTAGGTATCTTTGCCCGCGGTCATTAACTGCGAACAAATAAAATCAGGGCCCATTTCTTCTTCCACACAACCACTTTCTAACTTCAAGTATTGTAAAATATAAAATCCTTGACCAGTATAGTTTATCAATTCCAGGTTTCCACGACGAAGAATAAGGAAATATGACAGTAACTGAACTGGCCATCCTCCCTTTGGCTCTTATTCAAACCACTTCCCCCACTCTCGCACCCGCTCTCATCAACAAACTTCTTCAAACTCGCCAGGCACTTATCTCCGCCTCTGGCTATCATTTTACCTACTACTACCAAGTCGAAGACCCTAGTATCATCTGCCTTATAGGAGCATGGGACTCGGTATCCGCACACCACGCATTCATCGCCTCACCAGATAACAAGGAATTGCTTGCGCTGCTAAAGGATGATATGCTCCTCTCCGACACTCAAGAGAGAGCCGGCATGAGGATGTGGCATCTAGAAGGCGATATCTTCAACCTAAAACCCAGCGGCGGCGAGGCTAATGCGGGGAATAAGAAAGACGTTCTAGATGCCCCGATCATTTCCCTAAAACGACACTCCATTCTCCCCTCCAAAAAGGTGGCTTTCCTCGCTGCATTCTCAGGTATCAAGCACCTACTAGAATCCGCCTCCCCGTATCAGGTAGTTGGGGGCTGGAGGATTGACAAAGAAGAGATAGAGGGGACTGAGAGGGAAGAATTTTGTCTGTTTTCAGGGTTTGAGGGTGTGGAGCGTCATCATGAGCTTCCGAAGACAACGGAGTTTGAGGAGTATAAGACTATTGTGGGTGAAGTAGAGAGCTTTGAGTTCAGGCATTTGAATGTTCTCGAGTTGGATACCTAAGTAAGAAGATTGTTGTAGGGACGAGGAGTATGGAGTGATATATGAGACTAGGGTTGAGGCTAAAATAGGAGAGTGAGAATAGGGGTAGGCGGGTATAACCGAGAAATCTAGGCCTCTGTGAGCGCATGCAATTGATTACTACAGCATGAAACCGCAGATTTATGAATAACAGAACGTTGATCCGAATCTGGCAGGTAAGGAAACCCCTTTTCTCTTTGTTTTCTTTTTGGTATGCATCGTAGCCGTTGCATTGATTCATGAAGGAATGCCGAAGCTGCCTCTGGGGATTCCGATGCGGACCTCCGGCTGGAACCGTAGGTACCTAGGTAGCATGAATCGTATATGAACCACTGTCTCCAGTGCTGAAAACCAAACCCAAATTTGTTCCAATTGATTTAAGGTCGATCTTGAATTGACTAGCGTTCTATCATTATGCCTTCGTTCACAATTACTTTCGACGAGTCCGAGAAACCTTCGGTATGGAAAACCCCAAAGTCAATCTCTTTTGAAGGTTAGTCTAACCGTGTTGGAATTCCACATTATGTAAAACAGCTAAGCCATATGGTTAGATTATCTGGAACTTACTGCTTTGATGTTTGACTGGGGGGATAGCTATGATGCAAAGGCAAGTTCCTAATTTCCTTCAGTAAGTGCCATCGGGCTAAACATCTTGTACTAACTTCACCTCAGGACTGGCCCCGACTCCGCAGCATAATCGCACCAACTCTCCTCGTCGATTACACTTCAATCGGCAAACCTAAATGGCCCGACATGAGTGCCACCGATTTTATGGCTATGGTTACCGACGATGACTTCCTCGGCGACCCCTGTGTGAAAACACAACATCTTCTCGGCGCCACGCGATGGGAACGCATCTCTGACACGGAAGTAATCGGGCACCATCAACTCCGTGCAGCCCACCAGGTTTATACAGATGCGAGTTTGAAACACGTCAAGCTGAGGGGACATAGCCACGCGACAAATGAGCATTATTATCGCAAGGTGGATGGAGTATGGAAGTTTGCAGGGTTGAAACCTACGGTTAGGTGGAATGAACATGATTTTGAGAAGGTGTTCAAGGGTAGTTTCAAGAAGTAGGACGGTGCCTTAACGAGCTTTGGTGTTGGAGGGAAGTTTCGGTGTAGTTCTACCAACGGGGTTAAATTTAAAGCAAGTTGAGGCAAATCATTTACAGATCCATAATAGTTGCAATACTATTTCAGTGACAGTCATCCAGACTCTAGATGATCTCTAAAACGCGGGTTTGAATACCGCTATCAAACTGGGTTTACTTTATTTGGCTCAAAGTGGTCGCTTTGATATACCGCGAAGAACGCATAGCTATCGACTAATACACTCCGCTAGAAGATGGATTTCTAAATGGATCCCTTCATTTACTGTTATTGTTTATGCCTCTCTTTTGGAGTTTTTACTGTGTTAAATTATATCTCTTTTCGTGTTCTTGCTTTTGTCTTCTCTAGCTATATAAGGGATTACAGAGTAGGCTGCTTGAACAAGGTTCTAGAGTTCCACTTAATTGAGTAGTGGAGAGCAGAGATATTTAGGCTTTAGCCATAGTTGCCAAATTTGCTAGTTAGTGATTGCTAACATGTCCCAATTTGTTTGGCCAGGTGCCAGATTTGTTAATATATCTTCCGGCTTAGTGTCATTTCACTGTCCGATTTGTGGTGTGAATAAATGTCTTTAGCTTCCCATATCAAATGATAGTTATAGGATAAAATGGTAAAATGCTGATCAATTACTAAGGCTCCACTGGTGGTCCGCTGACGGTCCGTTTACGGTACGTTAGCGATCCGCAAAATTGCGATGTTAAACAAAACTAGATAGTTTCGTAAGGTTAAAGCGGGACGGGAGTCGAACAGAGAACAATGTAAATCAACAAGAGAAGGTTGTGTCCTTGCTAGATACTTTAGTGTCCAAGGATCGATAGTATGCCAAACACAGCACAACAGTTAGCATTTAAATGGCCACCAATAGGAAAGACCCTATGCACAAATTAAGTGATAATCGTTCTGTATTTATAAACCCGATCATCCTTCATGCCGTTTCTTACAAATACACACCAAACTCATTATAGAACTCATCATTTCATACCCTAGCACTTAAACAAAGTCCCCGTTTTGGGAAAGAAGACGCCCGTCTATGCAATGCAAAAATCAAAATAGACGGACAAGAAACAAATAGTAAAATGCCGCCTAATCTAGGTATACTCCATCCCCTGTCCACACTTTTGCAGAAATAAATCAACCCCTGGGGATCTAATCGTAATGTCATCCCTTAAAAGAAAAGATGAATGGCGAGGTTGCGTGAGCGTTTCGACAATCCGGAGAGCAATGCCTACCGAGCGTTTCATATAATCCCAACTCCTTTAAGGCGATTAAGATGAACCAATGCTCTGGCTAAGACTTGATTTTCCAGGCCCTTGTGCTCGTTTCAAGGCTCGAAGCTCGTCTTCTAGTTTGCGCCTTTCTGCTTGCTCAGCCTGCATTATTGTTAGTAGGTATTCAAAAGAGAAGCTAGCTGGCAAAATTAGGACCTACCCTTAGTGACTTAGCATTCTCCGCTCTGGTATCCCTCATCATCTTCTTGAACTCGTTCTTTAGCACTGTCGTACTAGTACTACCAGGGCCGGGTACAGCACCATCCACTCCTGGACTCTTCATTCCCAACCATCGGACCTTCTCATCGCTGAGTTGCGCCTCCATCTGCTCTCTTTCATCCCGCAGTTTATCGATGACACCTTCGAGCTGTTCACGATCTTTCTCCCACTCGATACTCGCTTTGGTCATCTGCTCGTACTCTTCGATCGTCTCCTCGAGCTCCTTCTTCAGAGTCCGCATCTTATCCTCAGCTTCGGTGCTTACTGTGCCCTTGGTTTTTAGCGCAGTTATCTCCTCTGCAAGCGAAGCGTTCTTCCTTGTGAGATCATCAATCTCTTTCTGGATGGCAGGGTTAGCAGCCACTTCCGCGGCCCTCTGAGCTCTACTGCCGTATGCTCCGTCAAGTTCTGCTCTCGCAATTGTGACTTCGGTTTGTAAGCGGGCCAACTCCATGTTCATGTTCTCCATTTCCAGCTCTTTGGCTTCAATCTCTTTCTCCTTCTCTTTGACACTTGTTTCAAATGCTGCTTGGGCGGAAGCTGCCACAGCCAACTCTTGGGTCAAGTGCGTGATTTTGGTCTCCGAATCGCTAAGCCGGGTTTGCATCTCCGCGTTGCTAATTTGGTAATCATCTTTGAGGTCTTGAAGTTCCTCTTCGAGGGCAGCTAGTGAGCTATTCGCATTATTCAGCTCTTCCTGAGCTGCGCGAACTGCCGCTGATTCATCCTTCGAGCGAGCTTGGTCACGTAACTGTTTTTCCTCCCTGACCTCGTCCAATTTCTGCATTACAAGGCCGAGTTGCTCACGCACAGTATCGGCGTCCCTTTCGGTCCTATTAAGCAACTCTTGTGTTCTCGTCAGCTCTTCAGATTTCTGGGTGATCTCAGCATCTTTTGTAGCATCTGATTTGTTATTCAATTCTCGTTGTTGCTTGATTTGCCGTTGCAAGACTTTCTTCTGATCCTTTAACTTAGTAGCCTGAGAATAGAGCCATTGCACCTTCGCGGAGAATGATTGGAGAGAGAATGGTCCAGGAGGATCGTCACCCTCGTCAGAGGACATGTCGTCATCATCATCGGGCAGATTGTTCATGGAACGGTTTTGTTTGCGTTCTAGTTTCCTCTGTCGAGCTTCTTCCTCGCCGGATAAGATGATTTCCCAAAGGCCTATCATGACCGTCTCCATCTGGTCCTGATTGCCATTGCTCTTGCTAGACAAGTTCATTGAACGAGCGAGTTCCGCTTGCACGGCAGTAACGTTATTTTGAAGATACGATAACTGGTCATTTAGGCCTCGGCCGGTAAGCTGTGGCGGCTCAGGGCGGATCTCATCGTAGGGTTGCAACAGGCCATGCAGTTCTCTATTCAACTCCTCCAGAGTCTCCTCCATTTGCCCCTGGGACATGTCAAATCTGTCGAGAACTTCGCCATGCTCCCTACCAATCGCGTCAATCCCCTGCTCCAAATAATCCAGAGAACTCTGGAGGGCTCTACCCGGTTCCCGAGCGCTATCTCCATTGGACCTATTGAGTGGAGGCAGTCCGTATTTCTCTTCTTGCTGAGGATTGTTCTGGATGATAACCTCTCTCAACCGAGAGTTGAGATCTTCCAATCTCTGCTCTGTCTTCGTGATCATATCCATCTGCTCTTTGGAAGCCGGGAAACTGCTTTCTCCGCCAGATTCTCCAAGCTCATCGAGCTGATTGAATGACCTGTACAGACTTCTTTCATCGAAAATTAGGTCATCGCCAGGGAGCGGCTCAAAGCTATTCCTCGCATTCGAGTAGGTGTACATGCTTTCTGGGCTTCCTGGAATCCCTGAAGGACCGACCGAAGGCCGGCCAGGAGCCCCCTTGGACATCATCTTGGGGCCTTTGTGTGTCATTTGCAGAATGCCGGCTGTATGCTTGAGCAACCTCATCTGCGGCTCCATAAGCCTCTTCTCCAACATCCACAACTCAGAAGCCAAATCCTCACATTTCTTCTCGCTGGCGAGCCGCTCCTGGTTCGCTTGCTCGTGTTCGCTGGTGTCGCTAGGACTCGGTTTGCTTTCTGAAGCATATAGCCTCGACATAGATTTTGTGGCATCCCGATATTTGGATTGTATCATGAGGTTTTGACGTGTTTGCTCAATGCGTTGAGACAGCGTCTTGCATTGTTTCTTCAGGTCGTCGACTTCTCCCTCAGAGAGGATCTCGAGTTCTTTACTATCCCCCAGGGCGGTCTCGACCAACATATGTACCTGGATAGAATCGTTGAGATCCAATAGCATCGAGCTTTGTGGCCGTGCGGCGTTCATCTATAATTCCTCATTATTACTCTCTTCTTGTCGTAACACTAGAGCGATGACACTTACCGGATTATACCTAGGCGTCTCCCCTTCAAAGCCATTCATGATATCTGCCTTGTATCCCCCCAACACGACTCTTGCAGGGGGGTCCTGTGCTTGAGGGTTCATCCTACTTGAGCTGTAATTCTTCGCGGGAAGCTGGTCGTCCCTGCCATCCGGAACCTCGTATGAATCCTGCCGACCCCTTCCGCCATATCCAAGATCCGCACTTGGTCGAGGAGGCAGCCCCTTCCTCCGAGGGGGGGTTCCGTTCATCATTGTACTTTATATGCTCGACTTGTCAGCCGCTCTTGTGGTGCACCGCGGAAGGTCGTGTTATCGCATATTGGGGTTCGGCTCTGCCGTTGTATCAGTCGTCGATTGCGCGGAATATGGAATATCGTCCCTGTTGTGAGCGCTTTCTTTCTCCTTTCCTTGATGATGTCCCAGTTGTCCGGTCCTTAGCCCCCTTCCTTTCTTGCGCTCTCCCGGTGATATCGCGGCCTGCCACTGATTGATGCTTTGCACAGAATTGACTGGCGGGTTCCAGATAGAGGCTACTGTAAAGACAAGAAGAACCAAGGTAACTCTTGCACGAGGGGAACGGTGTCTATTTCATTCTCGCGGGAATCCAAGATCTGCAATGGCATTTCGGACCTGATCTGCCAAAAAGAAGTGAGCCAGGGGACAGAGGCACAGACAGGGACATCGGATTAGGCGACGTGTCTGATTCGCTCGTATCACCTCCAAGCTGCCCTGAGCGTTATCCACAGCGCTTTCAGGGGTTCCCACTGCCGTTCTCGCATCTCACGTCGAGGCCTGATGTCAGCGTCACGACTCACTGTTAAGGTTGCAGATGTCTATCAATACTTTACATTATCGTCTACTGCACTCCGAGCTGTATTCTGCCCGTGTTGTCCCTTGCGCGGCTGGGTTCGGCCCGCCGCGGGACGAACCTGGGTCCTTACCGGGCCCAGACGCTACTGGTTACCAGCACTGAGTATTGACTATTGTCTGACGTACTTTATACTAAGGTATCCTGTTCTTTAATCTCATCCACAATGAGACTAAGAGACTACGTATAATACCTACCTATGAGTATATATATACCTCTGGGTACTACTGAAGGTGCGCAAGCCTCGGGTACCACGTGGTTTACGATATGCAACGGACTGCAGGCCATCCATCTCATGTCATCAGCCGCCCGATTAAGACGTGGCCAGTGAGTGCCACTGCCTGTGTCACTCACCAACGTACGAAGTACCACCCCTAGGAAAACATGACATTCTACCAAGCACCATGATATCGAACAAAAACAGGCAGAAAACCGAATTTATTGAGTAGAGGCTCAGTAGCTATTAATCCAGCCTCTGTACTAAATATATGGATGCCAACATTGCCTATTCCTTCAAAACCCCAATGAAAAGACCGGCCAAATACTCTCCATACCATGAACATCATGGGACATTGCCAATTGATAAATCTTAATGTTCTCAGTCGCTAAGAGAGAAGCAGCTCCGGATCTTCTAGGGTCTCCTCTTAATCTCACCCTGGGCTAAAAAGGCCGTCTGAGTGCCCATCACTGAGAGCCTCGTAGGAAGGAAAACGAATAGATGTCAGTCAGCAGTGACTAGACTTGCGCATTTTATCTCGCACGTAACGGCATGAGAAAGGCTATGAATATGGGCAAAGAAATGAAGATATCAAGAGGCTAAGAGCAAAGAGCAAAATGGTATGCAACTAGGCGTGACGGATCGCCACCTACTATATGTAGCTGGGTTGGGAAATAAAACCTTGCTCGATTCACCCCACTAGGGAATAAAACGGAGAAGATCGCACTCTAGATTCAATCAAATGAAACCTGAGCCGTAAGGGGAACCTGAGAACCTGAGATGTGGTGAACTTGCGACTGGATTACCTTGACTAGGCACTCGCCCAGCGCTTAAGGGCTTCTCGCGGTCGTGCCTATGGACCGTTTTATGATTATTAGGCGGTGTCGGCTAGAAGCCAGGGGATAATGCCCCGGTAAAGGTTCTCGAGTTGGGAGAAGAGAGCTGAAAAAGATGCCCTACTCGGAAGGGTGCTTGATTCGGGTCCAAGGCTACGTAGGCCCGGAAAAAGGTAAAATAATAGTTGTGGATACGCTGAAATAACACCTAGTCTAATGCCGTATCGTTTTCGAAACCTGCGTTCCTGTAAAGCCCTAGAATATATGAACCGTTTACCTGCATTTAGCTTAGATCGAGCCCGAACCTACCCCGAGGGTGGCCCGCGAAGAAGCAGACGGCAACCCGACGATGACGGGTCATTAATTTGTCTATGATCCTCAGACAAGTTGTAGATAAACGGCAAGTTCGTTGGCTGCCCAAGAATCGAGGATGCTCCTCATGGAGAAGAATACCAGCGTTGACAATATGTGAGTCCGAGGCTGACAGGCCGCGAATACAACATGGTATTTTGTACAGCCTCATGCCTCGTTTATGGCTTGAAGCGACGGAAAAAAAACTGGCGCATTCTAGGGTCTGAACACTATAAAACTTAGCTAAGCTGTGAGCAGAATGTTTAGAAGTTGTATTATAGTGGAGTGGAGAGAAAAGTGTAATCTGGTATGTAGAAGAAATGAATTGCGCATCTAAATTTGGGTCAAGATCACGTGTAATGCTGTCCACTGCAGGAGCTGGACAGGCTAGCTTGTTTAGGCGTTCGTCGTGACGACTAAAGGAACTCGGGAGCTTGGTGCCTCCAGCAACGACATAACTTCAACACAGTGCACCTTTTCCCTCCTTTATCCCCTACTGGGACTCAACAAGTTCCAAGAGCCATTCTAATTATAGGGAGTTCTGGGATACCGCCCATTCTTCTTAGCCATGGCTCCACACGAGGACACGATGTTCCGGTCCGCGGACATGAGCATGGTGCAGCTCTACGTCGCCAAAGAAATCGGCCGGGAAGTTGTTAACGCATTGGGAGAGCTTGGAAACGTACAGTTTAGAGATGTATGCATCATGTTCTACGATGGGAAGCTTTAGTACTGATGGTTTTGAACAGCTCAACTCGGAAGTCACTGCTTTTCAGCGCACATTTACTCAGGAAATAAGACGGCTTGACAATGTCGAGAGAAAATTGCGTATGGCCCCCCAATGGCGTGGGCATTGCTATCACTGACGCTGAGCAGGCTTCTTTCACTTGCAGATGGAAAAGGCTGGAATTCCTCTCCGCAAGATAGATTTCGACGTCGACACATTTGCAGCTCCCTCCGCATCCGAAATCGACGAACTTTCCGACCGAAGCCAGAGCTTGGAGCAACGGGTTGCTTCCTTGAACGACAGCTACGAAACATTAAAGAAGAGGGAGGTTGAGCTGATTGAATGGAGATGTGTTCTTAGGGACGCAGGAGAATTCTTCGACAGGGCACACGGGAATGTGGATGAAATCCGGCCCTCCACAGAGGATGATGATGCACCCTTGCTCCAAGACGTCGAGCATGATGTACCTGGTCAGAATGGCGATGCAGAACGTTCATTTTCAGGCATGAATATTGGGTTTGTGGCGGGCGTTATCCCCAGGGACCGAGTTGCTGCCTTCGAACGCATTCTGTGGCGTACTCTTCGAGGCAATCTTTACATGAATCAGTCGGAGATTTCTGAACCATTGGTTGACCCTACGAATAATGAGCCGGTCAAGAAGAACGTTTTCCTAATCTTCGCCCATGGCAAGGAGATTATTGCGAAGATTCGAAAGATCTCGGAATCACTTGGTGCCGATTTATATAGCGTCGATGAGAACAGTGACCTGCGTCGCGATCAAATCCATGAGGTCAACAACCGCCTGGCCGACCTTGGAAGTGTCCTAAGAAACACAAAAACTACCCTGGATGCGGAGCTCACCCAGATTGCGCAGAGCTTGGCAGCGTGGATGGTTGTCATAAAGAAAGAGAAGGCGGCATACCAGACCCTTAACCTGTTCTCGTATGATCAGGCCAGAAAGACTCTGATTGCCGAGGCGTGGTGCCCTACAAATTCTCTCCCTTTGATCAAGTCTACCCTGCACGACGTGAACAACAGGGCTGGGCTCTCAGTGCCTTCAATTATCAATGAGATCAGGACAAACAAGACGCCGCCAACGTACCAGAAGACCAACAGGTTCACGGAGGGTTTCCAAACAATTATTAATGCTTACGGAACCGCCAAATACCAGGAAGTCAATCCGGGCCTACCGACCATCATTACCTTCCCATTCTTATTCGCTGTCATGTTCGGTGATTTTGGCCACGGCTTTCTCATGGTCTGTGCAGCCGTGGCAATGATCTACTGGGAGAAGAAGTTGAAAAAGGTTCGCGATGAGCTTTTTCAAATGGCATTCTATGGGCGTTATATAATGCTCATGATGGGTATCTTCTCTATGTACACGGGTCTAATCTACAACGACGTTTTCTCGAAATCAATGTCGATTTTCCCTAGCGCATGGGAATGGGATGTTCCCGAAGGCTGGGAAGAGGGGCACGTAGTCGAGGCACAGCTAAAAGGCAGCTACCGCTACCCATTTGGATTGGATTGGATGTGGCACGGCACGGAGAATGATCTTTTGTTCGCCAACAGCTACAAGATGAAGCTTAGCATTTTGATGGGTTGGACCCATATGACCTACTCATTGTGCCTATCATACATCAACGCTCGCCACTTCAAGACGCCGATCGACATCTGGGGTGTGTTTGTTCCGAGTATGATATTTTTCCAGTCTATCTTTGGATACCTCGTTTTCGCCATCGTCTACAAATGGTCAATTGACTGGTATGCGATCGGACAATCGCCTCCTGGTCTGTTGAACATGTTGATTTACATGTTCTTATCCCCTGGTAAAATTGAGGATCCACTGTATCGTGGCCAGGGACCCGTACAGATCATCCTTGTGCTGCTTGCCCTTGTCCAGGTCCCGATATTGCTCTTCTTGAAGCCGTTCTACCTCCGATGGGAACACAACAGGGCCCGTGCAAAGGGTTACAGAGGCATTGGTGAAACTTCTCGAGTGAGTGCACTTGACGGAGAAGATGATGATAACAACACGTTGGACGGCAGAGCCAGTTTGTCCAGTGAGCACGAGGGCATCGCTATGATCACACAGGATATCGGCGAGGACGAGCATGAAGAGTTCGACTTCGGCGAAGTTATGATACATCAAGTTATTCATACGATCGGTATGTTTCTACCCATATATTGGTAAAACCCTTACTAATTGAGCGTAGAATTTTGTTTGAATTGCGTTTCCCATACGGCGTCCTACCTCCGTTTGTGGGCCCTCTCCCTTGCACATCAGCAGCTCTCTGTGGTGCTGTGGACAATGACACTAGCCAATGGCCTGAGCAGTACTGGTCCAATGGGCGTTGTAATGCTTGTCATCACTTTCTATATGTGGTTTTTCCTAACCATTGCGGTATTGGTCGCCATGGAGGGTACCAGTGCGATGTTGCACAGTTTGCGTCTGCACTGGGTGGAGGCTATGAGCAAGCACTTCATGGGTGAAGGGCTACCTTTCCAGCCATTTTCATTTAAGCAGATATTGGAGGATGACGAATCGGCAGCTGATATTAGCTAATGCTTTGGGCAAAGCTTTCCTTGATGTTTTATATAGACCAACTTGTAACTGTAGAATGAAGATTTTGCTGTCCCGACACCAAAGTACTCTGTTGTAACATTCTCCTCTTCCCCCGTAACTCAAGTGCATGCACAGGAGTAGGTACCTTGCAATCGCGGGTCCCACGGGGATTGACCGCATATTTGATTCGATGTGCTGCTTAGTCGTTGAACCCTGACATGCGCGATTTGACGTTGTTCTCCACTCTCTCTCCAATCAAGCTTTTCCATGACTTGCAAGTGCTATTACATCCGATAATAATTGCTTCTTCACCGCCGCCTTGTCGGGCACCGCCCGCTATGAGGGGGCAGCTCGGAGAGATTCTGCACGGCGTCGTCGTCGTCACCGAGCACGTAAATAAACCCTCGCATCCTGAAATGAGGGGTTTTACTTCCTTCCGCTCTTTTTCCCTTCTTCCTCCTTGACAAAGGACAAGCTATCTAGGAGGCTACTTCTCACTTGAAATTCAGACCGAGTAAAACAACCAGACCGCAGCTTGGAATAACTGACGATACGATGTCTCTACACAATCGCAAATTCTCCATGAACCGCTCCTCTGGAGTACCCAGAGAATCAACTCGGCTTACGCGCAGGTTCAGCTCTCATGAGCCGAGTGCTAATGGTAGGTTGTTCCCGCCCCAGTGTTATTTGGTGGAGCTGGCAGTCGTAGTCTTCCGGCTGTGCGAAGTACAAAGCGAGCTCTCGTACAGTACCCATAACTAACCGGTTTCCTAGAAACAAACTCCAAGATCCACAAGCAGTTCCGCAATGCCCATCAAGGCCACAAACCACACGCAGGTCTTGATCCTACTCGTGCCTCCACCGGCGTGATTTGGTGCACAGAGAGAGCCTACGAGCATGGTTTCTTGGATGAGCCTGAAAAATGGGCAAATCTGGGTCAGGGTGCGCCGGAAGTCGACGATGAAATCGAAGGCAGTTTCGACAGACCACAGACCGTTGATATTTCTATGACCGGAAGAGAATATGGACCTACCGCCGGAATCAAGGGATTGAGAGCTGCCGTTGCGAATCTATACAATGCGCATCATAGGGAAGGCAAGGAGTCTCAGTATACCTGGGAGAACGTGTGCATTGTACCAGGTGGCAGAGCTGGACTCATCAGAATTGCCGCTGTGTTGAATAATGCCTATCTGGGATTCTTCATCCCAGATTATACGGCTTACAATGAAATGTTGTCGCTATTCAAGAATGTATGTTCCCTCGATTGGATTGATATACATTGGGTCTGATTTTCGGCTAGTTTGCAGCTATCCCGTCTCCTCTGGCTGAGGAGGATGGTTATAATATCCACCCCGACAAAATCGCCGAAGAAATCGCTCGAGGAACATCTGTCATCTTAACATCCAACCCTCGGAATCCCACTGGATTCGTGGTCAAAAATCCGGAACTCGCCGAGATCCAAGACATTTGCCGTGACCGAGCAACTTTGGTGATGGACGAGTTTTATGGTGGCTACAACTATACTTCAGACTGCGATGGTACCACCATCAGCGCGGCTGACAACATTGAGGACGTTGACGAGGATGATGTGCTGATCATTGATGGGCTTACCAAGAGATTCCGACTTCCAGGTTGGAGAATTGCATGGATTGTTGGGCCAAAGGTGAGACAAGTTCCCCTGATTGAAATTTCCAAGTTAACATTTACATAGGAATTCATCAAAGCCATCGGCTCTTGCGGATCCTACCTCGACGGCGGAGCTAATGTTCCGTTCCAAGAGGCTGCAATCCCCATGCTTGACCCAGACAATGTCCTCAAAGAAATGAAGGCGCTACAATCCCATTTCCGGGCCAAGAGAGACTACGTCGTAGAACGTCTCCGTGGGATGGGATTCCACATCAAGACCGTTCCTGACTCTACATTCTACCTCTGGCTTGACCTCGAGGGACTCCCAGAGGCAATCAGTGATGGATTGAATTTCTTCCAAGCTTGTCTTGAGGAGAGGGTCATTGTCGTTCCGGGTATTTTCTTCGATCTTAACCCGAGCAAGAGAAGAGATTTGTTTGACAGTCCTTGTCATCACTTCGTCCGATTCAGCTATGGTCCCAAGATGGAAACACTGAAGATGGGTCTTGATGGTATTGAGAGGGTTGTTACGAAGTAAGTGCTCGGTCTGTTGCAAATAAGAATGGAGCTTCCAACTAACATTCTGCAGATATAAGCACGGCGCCAAGATCGCCCAATGAACGGATGAACCGTCTGATACCACGCCACCGGATAGGAAATCATGAGCACAACATTTTATTTGCAAAAGCAGAGTGCTTGATTGAAATTGTGGTTATAGCAAGACTCCCCTAGGTGCTACAGATAGAACGTAGAGTTCTCTTTCATAGACCGTGTTCAAATTCTACTGAGCTCAAGTCCTAAGCTACCTAAGAAACTATGCATCGTATTATAGTTTGAACAGTTGATTAGATTGCCTAACCCACACACGAATGTCGTGTGAGAGTATGCGTTGGGGGTATTTATGACGCTAGCGGGTCAAATTGCTATCAACAGAGTCCTCGGATCCTGAAGAACCGCTACATTTGGCCTAGTTTCCCAATTGTAGTAGAGATAGATGAGATATCGAAGCTAGAGAGTCCATAGACGGAGAAAGAGGCGCTTGGCCTGTATTCTCTAGGTATTTCCCTGAGAGCCCACCTCGCCCGTCACGAAATAACTAGTCAATACTTGCCAGTCTTCACCGTCAAGTTCAGTCTATCTAAAACATACCTGCCCGCCGTAATGGGTTGATACTTCGACGGATTATCCTCGCTCACGCAAGAGGGCAGTGTCTCGACCTTATCATCATAGTTAATCGAAAAAAACAGAGGAATGCTATATCTCTCCTTCGCCGTGCGATTTACCACTCGATGTACCGTGCTCTTATATTTATCATTAGTCCAGCGCATTAGGAAGTCTGCAACATTGACTACGATCCCGCCATCGACGGGTTCGGCACTTATCCAATGTCCGTCTGAACTCAGGATTTCTAATCCCGGATTGGAGTCTTGGAGGAGGAGAGTGAAACACTCGTAATCTGAGTGTGCGCCTAGGCCGATTTCTTCGTCTTCGGTGACTGAGGAGAGGGGTTTTGGGTTGGAGCTTGGCGGATATCTTATGAGGCGGGCTATTCCTCCAGGGTGCGTGACAAGGGGATCGAAATAATTTTCTGGTAGGCTAAGAGAGAGGGCGAAGAGGTGACATAGGTGACGACAAAGTTGTAAAACCTGCAAAATCAAACTTAGCAAGAATTGGAGGGGATTTGAGGGAGGTTTGTTCACCTCACGGTAGTACTCAGCAATGCCCTCGTAGAACCCCGGCAGCTCCGCCTCCAATGGCCATTGGTTTTTGCTGCCATCTGTACTACCATCCAATTCCACATAGCCTCCATCGCCGCCCGTGGGGTCCAACCCAGCCTCGTATCCCCAGTTGAAAGCCTCCTTTGTCTCCTTGGTGGTGAAACTGTTCACCGATGTAAAGGCAGGAGGTTCGTAGCCTCGGAAATGCTTGGAATTCCTAATATGGATTGCATCTTTCGAAGCCTGTGGCAATTCATGAAAGAACCGCTCAGCGAGTTGCAGAGTCGCATTACAGAGGGGTTTTGGAATGCCGTGGCCGGTGACGTAGAAGAATCCTACGGTGGTACATGCCTCATGGATGTGACTGGCTACTGACTGGCGATCGGACAGGGATCCTGAGAAGGAGGGCGCGAGATCGATAATTGGGATTGAGCGAAAGGGTTTTGTCGCTGTCGCCGTAGATGTTGATGTCGGCGCTGGGTTGAGGCGAGCGTCGAGATATTGCTGCGCTTCGAGAGCAGCGGCTAGAGAGTCGTCACCCGTGGGGTTGGTGTCTTCTGCTGTTGGCAGATTTGTTATAGTAGCCATTGTTAACCCGAAATCATCATAAGAGCCGGAATAATGCTGAATTAATAGTAGATAGGTGTACTTGTACGACGAGCAATGGGATATGAATGCTTCCTTATCGCGGGTTCTTGTGAGGCACCTTGTCGAACCAGGGAAGTGCAGGGGTTTGGGATTAGGGGATGTACAAGCACGAGTACTTCTGATTCTCCCTCTGATTTTCGGGTTGTACGCATAGTTGGTATTACCGGAGTACTCTGCTCGTGGATTTCCCTATTAGATTAAGATCCATGGTACTTTGAAAGCATTATCAGACTGACTTTATTATATGATTTCCTTCCCCCGTGTTGCATCTTATTACAAGGCCCACTCTAGGGCAATTAATATCCCTGCATATTACCAATGCTAAGCATTGGTCTTAGAAGAGGAATGATGTGCATGAGCGGGCCGCTATTCTGGCCGCTCTGCACATCATCTTTGACTTCGAAGTGCAACAAAAGCAGCCGGTTTCTGGACTGTCGGGACTCAAACGCCTCACATGATCTGTAGTTTGTGTTGACAGGCGGCCGGGAAACGACCAGAGTGAATATAGTAAACATGAAGAGCCTGAATCATTGTCGCCAGGGCGACCACTTTGGGCCTAGCCTACCCCACGTCTCTTGTTCTATTTTCCCGGCCCGACATTCTTCCGACAACAACAACGCAAAGCCAAATTCACGTGACAAACGCAGCTCATCATGCATCTGAACGAAGCAACCGGTGGGTTACTTCTTGCTCGCCAATTTAATATCTGCTATGGAGCGCAAGAGCTAATCATGAGTGCTAACTAGCTGTCTCAACTTCCCAAATTCTCCTCGTCCCTTATGAGCGATGTCACGTGGCTACCTACAACGCGTGGATGAAAGGCGAGGTACGATACTACGATTGCCAACGCCTCGCTAATAACTTGATCCACAGTTCACCAGCACTAACAACTTTACAGCATGTACAGCTGCCCCTCGCCCTCGAGCATAAACTTCAAGGACAATGGCGCACAGCACACGACAAGTTGAACTTCATCGTCTGCCTCCCCTTGGACCCAGACGAGTTTAAGGAAACGGTCGAAGAGGATGCAGAGGTTGGAGCGACCGCAGAGAACAAAGATGACTCAGCTAGCGACGAGGACCTAGTGTTCGTAGATGCCCTAGAGATCCCAGAGGGCCTAGAGATCGCAGAAGACCCAGAGAACGAAGATGACGCAGCCGGCGAAGAGGACCCAGAGACTGGAGAGGACCCTGAGATAGTAGAGGATCTAGCTAGCGAAGAGGACCTAGAGTTTGGAGAGGACCTAGTGTTCGGGGAGGGCCTAGAGTTCGCAGAGGACCTTGAGTTCGCAGAGGATCTACTGTTCGCAGAGGACCCAGACATCGCAGAGGATCTACTGTTCGCAGAGGACCCAGACATCGCAGAGGATCNTCGCAGAGGATCTACTGTTCGCAGAGGACCCAGACATCGCAGAGGATCTACTGTTCGCAGAGGACCCAGACATCGCAGAGGATCCAGACCTCTCAGAGTTCCCAGACCTCGCAAATTACCCAGACATCGGAGAGGACTCAGATATTGGAGAGGACCCTGACATCGCGGAGGACCCTGACATCGCAGAGGACCCAGACATCTCAGAGTTCCCAGACCTTGCAAATTACCCAGACATCGGAGAAGCCTCAGAGAGTACAGAGAGCAGTGAGAGCGAAGACGACACAGACGACGGAGAACCCAAATCGAAGGTCGTCGAGGGCGGGAAGCATGATGCACCGGAGCGCATGATCGGCGATGTGAACCTATTCCTGTTCCAAGGACCAAGCATCAATGAGAATGTTATGGGAGTAACTGGTGTTCTCGAGCTGATGATCGCTCCCAAGTCCCTACGTGGTCAGGGCCTCGGTCGCGCCGCCATCACTGCGTTCCTTCACTACATCGAGCTGCACTGCGAAGAAATCTTCTACAAGTTTAAGGGAGGCGAAGGTTCTCAAGCCCCTATTACCTTGCTTCAGTTCGACGGAGAGTATCGCAAACAATACGCTCACCGCCATCTGTACCTGAGGGTTTATATTGATGGCGAGGACATACCGGGCTGGCTGCTTTTTCAAACGCTGGGATTTGAGAAGGTGTCAGAGAGGACTAACGAGGCAGGCCGGTTTGAGATGACTTATCAGACGCAAACCAGTCACGAATGGAGCCTGGATAACCTGGAGGATTCTGGTGCCGTGGGCTATAAGGAGATTCGGTATGTTCCCGAGAAGGATGTAGGACAATACGACAATGACTATTGAGCATGGTTTGAAGGGCGTGGTTGTCACCTTTGGAGGGGCCGAGTTGGTCATCATGCTGGGATTGCCTGTTGTTAATCTCCATTATTCTCTATGACGTTGTTTCAGGTACCTAGGATAGCACAAGTTAGTCTCACAAAACAGAGAGCTTGATGATACTCGATACATCACATTGAAACATCCCAATAGCTTCAGCTCTAGACCTTCCCATTTTCTAGAGGCTGATCAACCACCTACGTAGTACTTGGTAAGGTATTAGAGCTACGTGTAGTCCGTACCTACCTATCTTACAGGGCGTGTCTGGAGGTTCGTACGAGGTCGCGCAGTCCCTCACCGCTGCCTCCACACCAGCCAACACGATATACTGCGTACTAGCATCCCCCAACGACAATTCCGTGCGAAGTCCCCGAATGACTCTGGGTCAGTACCTCACATCACAACACAACACATCACATCACCTCGCCCCGATCCTCGCAAGGAACGGAATCTGAGGGAATTTCTGTTGACGTCTTCTCGTGATCCCATCACGTTGTCACAGCCTATTACCCTATAACTTCGATCTGTTACCCTATAACTCCTCCCCTATTACCCTATAACTTTTGGCGATTACCCTATAACTCCTGGCAATTACCCTATAGATATTCGCTGGCTCGCGTCGCCTGCCCTGTTTTTGCGGGTAGTGTCGGGATCTGCCTGGTATCCCCGCGTGTGCTGGCGATCCAGCCTTATCTGCTATCGCCTGGGCTCGCGCTGCCCCACCATTGTTCGAGGACAGCCAGGCTTGTTCGTACTCCCGGCCCACTTTAGATCTCACATCCGCTCCTTTTTCGAACATGATATTGAACACACACGGCAGGCAGCACGTCAGGGGGATCGTCTGGATGCGGTAGGTACATACGTAGGCGGTATCGGAGGAATGCCCGTTTGGTCAAAAAGTTCCCGACGGTTTCTGTGGAGATAAGGGGTGGCAATTTCTTATAAGAGTGCAATATCTGTCGCCCGGGTAGATCGTGGCCAGACAGATAACGAGATATTACTATCTATAGAACAGAAAGCTTATTTTATTGGTCTTTGATTGGGAAGGATAGAGTACTAAGTTGATTGGCGGGATTCCTGGCTGTATTTCTTGTGTGCGGAAAAGTATGTGCCGGCGAGCATATCCAGGGAATTTTTATATTCCTTCACAGGACTGACATATATCTAGGAAGACACCTTTTGAAGCCATCAACACTACACCGGACGAGTCCGAGAATAATTCCCATTCGGGAAAGTGGAGAAAGGACACGTAGAGGTTCAAACAGGAGGCAGGGTCAGCCCCAATACATCACATCAACGAAAACGAAGAAATCTATCACAGACCATGGGTTCAAACGGCGAGCTCCCATCAACATCTTCCCGGCCATGGGTTGAAACACCCCTTATCCGCTCAGCGCCCCTATCTCGGGCAGCAGGCTGGTCCGTCGTCGCTTTTCCTATGCGCCTATCCCAATTATCATATCTATTCCCCTCTTACTAACAGATCCTTTGCAGCAACATCTACCTCAAGCTCGAAACCCTCCAGCCATCTGGCTCCTTCAAATCCCGGGGCATTGGAAACCTTATGTCTCAAGCTATCATGCAGCATGGCCCCGAAAAGCCCATCCGCTTCTACTGTTCCTCAGGAGGGAACGCCGGGTTGGCCTGCGCAACCGCGGCACTCGCCCTCGACAGACCAGCAACTATAGTCGTCCCACTGGCAACTAGCTCTTTCATGGTTGAGAAGCTTCGGGCCTTGGACGCCGACGTGCAGCAGGTTGGCGCACACTGGAGTGAGGCTGATGCATTCCTTCGGAACTCCCTCCTCGGACCGGATCCAAATGGTGTGTATGTGCCGCCTTTTGACCACCCAGATATCTGGGCAGGGAATGGAACGATCGTCGATGAAGTTGAGGAGCAGATGCAGGATGTCCCTGGGGGCTACGATGCCTTGGTGTGTAGCGTCGGGGGTGGCGGTTTACTGGCTGGCCTTGTGGAGGGGTTAGAAAGACACGCGCGTCTGACTTCGTCTGCTTCCTCTGCGCACCAGCTGCTGGAAGGATCCAACAATCCACCAGGGAACAAGAAACCCCAAGTCCTCGGAGTCGAAACTGATGGCGCCTCCTCTCTCGCCCTCTCCCTTAGAAACGGCACTCTCAGCACCCTCCCCACCATCACATCTATTGCTACCTCCTTAGGCGCGACACGGGTAGCACCACACGTCTTCTCCCTCACGCAGACATATCCAGATCATATCGCAAGTGTCGTAGTGTCAGACGCTGAGGCCGCCATGGCCAGCGTATATTTTGCGGACGACACGCGCATGATAATCGAAGTAGCATGCGGGGCAAGCGTCGCGGTGGCGTACAACAGCCCGATGCTCCGCAAGGTGCTGTTTCCTGGCTGCAGTGATGAGGAGTTCCGGAGCAAGAATGTCGTTGTTGTGGTTTGCGGGGGTAGTAATGTTAGTTTGCAGGTGCTGGATGAGTATAGAAGGAAGTATCAGGATGATGAGAGAGTACTGGGCGCGTTTGGGAAAAGGGCAGTGATTTAGGGATTGTGTGTTATTTCAGGGGTGCCAAACCTCATTAGCTAGGTAGAAGTCTGGTTTTCTATTTCATTGAATATGTTCTGGCGCAGAAGGGATAACACAGCAATTGGTTAAACGTTGGGAAGAATATGTTTTATCTAGAACTCTAAACTTGGAGAGCGCAAATTAATCTGAAATTCCGAAATCATCGATGGATTTATATTAGTACATGAATGAAAGGGGAAATGCAATATGAAGGTTAGAACGCAGTTACGAAAGCAGGGCGCTATTATAAAACTGCCAAATAGTGGGAATGTCTCGTCAATTAGTATATCGAGCTCCATTGTCGAGTAACGATTCCGTAACCCCCTAAGGTCACTCGAAAACAAGCGATGTAGATAGTATAGAAATCAAGGGAAAGAAGTTACGTGATAAACAAGGACGCAAGAAGGTAGCTAGAACTTAGAGATATGTCTAAGTATCGAGTAGACGTACATTTCTAACATACTAGGTAGGGATAGTTCTATTCTATCTACTCTACATGTAACTATGCCCGTACTCTAAAGGCTTTCAGTTGCCAACACAACTGTGCCTGTGTAATGCCCAAACTATTTTTGTACCCGTCTATATGCTTCATAATCCTGGCATCATCTCATTATTCATCATGCGATCTTTTCAACGTCCAGAGTACCATCAGCGTCGTTATCTAAGGCGATAAAGCCACTCGTCTCAAGTCTCTTTTTCCATTTCTTACTCTCATACCGAGCGAGGATCATCGTCATTCGCAAGACCTCGCCAGTACTTGATTCGTGCTCGTCACTCGCGCTTGACATGGCGGTGCATGTCCACCTTCCAAACGCCCAATTGAGTATATAGCGGCCGCTTTCGGCCAACTCGGCTTCAATAACATTGCCATCCGGGGATGGAACAGGTGATGAGGCGGCCAGTACAGCTTTGATGCGATATACCTCTAGAAATGGGGGTTTAGAGAGTGTCTACTTGGTTGAAGAGATTGTGGCACTTACCATCCTTCGGTGCAGACTTCAACAAGTTCTCCAGCTTGGAAGTGTCAACGGTTGAGCCGGCATCACCCCGAAGAGTGATGGACAACACCTCTACTTCGCTCTGATGACTCTTTGCATGATCATGGCCTGCAGCATGACCGTTGGCAGTCTCGCCATCAGAGGCTTCTGTTCCCAGGCTTCTTGCCAAAGCTCCATCAACGCCAAAGACCAAGTCCATTGGTACCCGGCCTTTATCGCTCTTGACAGTAGCGACCTGGACTTCCAGGTCACCTACACGATCAAGACACTCGTCTAATCTTCTCTCTCCGGCAATTTCCCACTTATTCAGCACAATCAGATCCGTATACCGTGCCTGGATCTTCGCTGTGTAACTGGTATCCTCATAGCCCTTCCAGTTCTCCACGTCTATGACAGTCACCACACCATCAAGGAGATAGGCGCCATTCGTATCTCTCGCCAGCCGGTTCACCTCCATGGCCAGCGTGGCGGGGAATGCGCTGCCGCTTGTCTCGATCACGATTCGATCGGGGTTGATGGTATTTCGGAGTTCTTCTAAAGCCGTGTCAAGCTGACCGACCAGGTTACAACATATACAGCCATTGAGAAGTTCGCGCACACCGGTAATTGACGAGGCCGATGCGAGCTGGCTGTCGATTGCGACGTCTCCAAATTCGTTCTTCACCAGGGCGAGCTTGTAGGAAGGGTTCTGTGCGCGGAGCTGGGGAAGAAGGTTGAGCAGAAGGGTAGTTTTTCCAGATCCTAGGAAGCCTGTGATGATAGTGATGGGGATGGGTGACATGGCAGTGGTAGATAATGGACGACGAAGAGGTGAGCTCAGGTATAATAGGTGAATGAAGGTATGTTTGTGTTCTGCCCAGTTTGTCAATTTTGCCGATTATCAATTTTGGCCAACTCCGGTCACCGCCGCTCCGCCGCCCCGTCTATAAAAGCTTGGGCAGCCTCCTTTCCAGAAACTTTTATTAACCAAGACAGTTTACTGTTCCGGCAAACACCGGTGTGCTGGGAGACCATCAGATATGATTGCTTGTGGTAAGGGCACAGTACTATATCGTCTTGTAATAAATATCTAGACAACTTAAAAGCCTGTAGAATCACATTACTTATATATAGCACGTTAAGTTTTAAGTAGTAGAATATTAACACAGTGTCAAGTAGCAATCTTTTGTCATAGAGACTAGTTGTCACTTAAATACTATGCTGTTGTTTAATTGATCCTTAGTTTAACTAATATATCGATTAAGTTACTTTCTATAGAGCAGATAGTCGGTATAATAGAAAGGACTAATTCGGATATTTAATTATACTGTAGTACTATAAAAACAAACAGAATCAAAATGAAAAGAAGTGGCACAAAGTACTAGTATAAAAAGCTTTGCAAGAAAATTCTACTCTTCGTCAGAGGTTACTACTACTAAGAACACCTACTTGGCACAGTAGATAGAATTGAAGGTTTGACATATTAGAAAGGATAGATGATATTGAAGTATCTAGGCATACACTACTCCGCATTTTGAAATTGTTAGCGTCTTTATTACAGTAGAAGAAGCATTTTCAGTTGGTGTTTTCGTAATCGAGAAACCCGAATCCAATTAGCAAGGTGCAATCTCGCAACCTTACAGAGACATTCAAATTCCAGTTCAATCCCCTCCCATAGAACATCAACACCGCTCTTGCAACACATCCCTTTTCCTCAATCCAGACTTGTGCAATGTAACCATGCACGAGGAGGGTCTCTAGTACACAGATATCTTTGGGGGAGTATTGAGTTAGTCCTATGTTATCAATGATTTCCTGCCCAAGCGACCTTGATGGTCGGTTTCCTATTTTCTATTACATTAACTTCAATTTCCTATTAATCAATTTAAAGCGGAAGGAAACGGTATTTGGATATAAAAGGGAATGTATAAATCTGAGAGCTTTGGTCTGCTAGTGGATGGAGATAGGAAATCCGTAAAAGTTGAAGGGAATTGGGTGTACGTGTGGAGGAGAGGTATAGCAAAGCTACCTTATCTACCTCCCTAGGTAGATAAGGTAGGGAGGCAGGTAGGCGGTCTTGCTCGCAACTCACCCCCATCATTTTTAGCAACGACGAAGGGACATCGCCGTACCGAGAGCGCGACACTTGCCCGGGCGCTTCGGGGCCCTCTTTAGTTTGGGTCTTTCTATTTGCATTTTTAGAAACTGTTCGGATTGCATGATATCAATGTCTGGCGGCAGCGACGCGCCGGCTTCCAGGCCATCAGTTTCGGGAGATTTACGGGAACGACTCAGGGGATGCATTGTCGGGAACACTTGTCAACCAATCGACCCGTTTCCACATTTGCCAATCGCCATCAACCATGAATCGAGTCGCTCTGGTCAGATATGGCTGAGACGTCGGTGGGGGGGACGATCCGAAAACTGACGGGTTAAACTGGGCATACCAACTACAAAGTACTGTGACGACGGATCAACTGGCTCTGGGATGCAGTTTGTTCCAGGGTTAATCCATATTCTATCTCAACGACAAGTCTCAGAACCTTCTTTCACCTGTACGAGGAGGACGTCAGGTAACCAAAGACGCGCGTTAACAAACCCGGATCCGGGAGGAATGACCTATGTCACCTATCAGGCTATGAGCTGGTGGTGGGTGGAGAATATTGAAGGTCGACGCTGAGGAGATTTCTTGAATTGTTTTCGTCGGGACGGCATGCGATCCACCACACCACATCACTGCTTCTCACTTGCATCACGGATGGGCAGGGCGGGAGTTGAGGCTTGCGGGAAGACGAAACAAAACAAACCATCCAACAGGAAGACTTTGATATTATCTCAAGAGTGAGACAGATAGCAGGATCGACGTAACAGAGCGAGGTGGTGCAAACCTCCTCTCTCTCTCGAGTTGAGGATTACGGGATAGCGCATTAGGATTCAAAGAGGAGGATGACCTGCAGGCTACCTACGCAGAGCATCCCCAAATTCTAACCCAGAGGAATCCTGTGAGGCACGGAATACAAAGCAAATGACACTCGTACCCTCATGGGCCAAAATATAATAAGCATCTGGTCCGTAGTACCTACGCAGTACCAAGCACAGACCGGAGTAGGTACTTCTCCGAGCGCGACTCATATTTATTATACTAGTCGGACATTATGGCTTTTTAGGATGGCGTCTGTTGGGTTGACTTCCGAGAAATTGGAACCAAGAAACAGGGAGCAGCAACTATCCGATAACAAACAACGTGGAATGCCCAAGGTACAGTTCCGACGAGGGAGGGACGCTCTGATTCGACAACCACCCTTGGCTCCGTTTCAAGATTTTGGCAGTGGGATCTGGACCCAGGTGGGTTGCATTTGAAGGAATAAATTTCCTCCTCCTGGAGAACGAGTAGAATCGAACGCATTCAGCCCCAAATCCGGAATGATGTGATATGATCGAATTCCCCCGTCGAATTCCCGAGGCTCCCGTGCAAGGGGATACAGGCAGGGGAAGGACTAGCATATCCCACAGCGCCTATCTTTCAGAGAATCCGAGTCTCGGTTTACTTCACGAAAAGAGCTGGCTGGGGCAAGGCTTGGAGTATTCCGTACGTCGGGACAAACTACACTAACTTGTGGCTGCCGGTTGGAAGGCGGCAAGAATGTCGAGGACAGTTGCGAGCTGCTGTCTTATTCCTATCGTTTCATGATACGATTGCTGCTCCTTCGCCTTCGCCGCCCAGGCTTCCCGGGGGCCAGATACGCACAGTACTTCGTACATACCAAATTACTGTATTACGGGTACCTGAATGTTAGCACGGGGCCCGGGCTAGGTGCAAACTCTATTCGGAGGATCTCACCGCGAGTCACCAGTAGTAGTGTGAGCAGGAACGGGGCAAGACGAAACAAGCGGAAGATTAGGTTAATACCTGACAGCCTGGGGGACTGGGCCATGTGGGGTTCAGCGGACCCCAAGAAACAAAAAAAACAGGTGGCGGCCAGTGGGAGAACTTGGAGAAGACCAACTTGACCGGCGCCCTGTTTCGAAACATGCGATTGTTCGGTTCATGGCAGTGGCATCATGTCTTTTGGCGCTCGATCAGGGGCAGTTGGTTGGGTGCAACTGCAAGGCACCACCACAGAGAGCGCGCTGTGAGTGTTGTCTCCCTTTGCAGAGTAACACCTACGAGGACAGTAGCCACTTCGTACAGGTGTCATGAGTAGGGAACTCTAAGAAGAAAACTAACAAGCCAACAATTAATGTACTGCCAGCACAGAAACAACGAAAGCAGGAGGGCGTTTCTTCTGGATTCCATGTGGTCGCTGGTCGTTTGCCCCTGCGTCTGGCTATCGGGTCGCGGTCGACTGCATCTGAATCTGCACGTAACGCACCTACATCCCGCATCCGCATCTCCAAGTAATCCACACCCCTAAATCTCCAAATCACCAAACAAGGAAGCGCTCTCGCAGAGACTCGACGCTTGGACTCTAAGAATAAGTAAGGTTGGCCCATTTTTTGGCTTAGCCCCCGCGCCAGGCTATACCGGCGCAATGGCTGCCCTTTGCGAGGGAGAGTCCGAGAGAGACGGGGATACACAAGCTATCAACCGTCGTGCCCCCTTGGCGATATAAGTCCCTTCCCCCCCTTCGTCCTTCGTCCTCTCACCATCTTTTTTTGATCCTCACCACCATCATTGTCAGCTCGTTTGGTATTGTCTCTTTTGCGGTGCCTTCCATTCACTTGATACAGTCATTCATTCATTTCACATCTGTTGATACAGATATCACATTCCTTCCGCACCAATCGAGTCAAGTTACTCTTGTGTGTCTACACCCAGCTTCGACAGCATTACAATCACTAGCACCAGCATCAGCGAAAGAAAGCAACCTCACTGCCGCCTATACTTCTACTGCTTCACACAGTAACTTCTTTTTCTCCATCATACTTTGGTAGCAACACCAACCTCAAACATGCACTTCACAAAATCTTCACTTTTGGCGGCCTTGGCCTCGTCGGCTTCAGCATACTCGGCTACCCAACGCACCTTCGCAGTTAACCATTTCTATGGAAAGGGTCCTCTTGTATCGGGCCGTATGGATCCCCTTACCAATCCAGGCGAGGCTTCCGGACACGCACATACAATCCAAGGCGGCAACGCATTCGCCCTAACCATGACGGATGATCAGGCATTGAAGTCGACCTGTACATCATCGTTGGTCAAGAACGATAAGAGTAACTACTGGACTCCTTCACTCTACTTCAAGGACCCTAAGACTGGCATGTTGGAGTCCGTAGAGATGTTTTACATGAACGTGTACTACTTGTAGGTTATTTCTTGGTTGCCCGCCGCTTATTCGACTACTAATGCGTTTTACCAGCTTCGAGCCTACCACCGATAAGATTAAAGCGTTCCCACCAGGCCTCCGCATATTGATCGGCGACCCAAAGCTCCGGACTCCACCTAAGACTGGCGGCAAGAACATCTTGGATCTTGCTGATGGGACTCCCCAGCCAATCCAATTTACCTGCCCCAGATCGAACCCCAGCACCCCGTTGTACCCGACTAACTCGGATGGCCTCCATGGTGTTGGTATTCAAGATCCAGGAAATAAAGGTGCCGGTGTGGGATTTCCAGACCAGAACTGCGATGGCTATGCCTCTCCCCTCCGCGCGGATATTCACTTCCCCTCTTGCTACAACCCTGCTGCCGGCCTCCAGAACTACAAGGAGAACATGCAATTCCCAACCAAAGGCAACTGCCCTGAAGGCTGGATCCACACCCCTCATATGTTTTATGAGGTCTACTGGAACACTCCTGTCTTCAAGGACCGATGGACCCAGGGACAAGGCACTCAACCTTTCGTACTTTCAAACGGTGACCCAACTGGCTATTCACTGCACGGCGACTTCGTGAGTTACGAAATACTATAAATGAGAACTTCGCTAATTAGAAACAGATCGCCGGCTGGGATGTAAATACACTTCAACAAATCATCGACAACTGCGACGCCGGTGATTCAGGAATGGACAAGTGCCCTGGCTTGATCGGCGGGCTCCATGACTCCTCCACATCCTGTAAAATCCAAAGCCCAATCCAAGAAACCATCTTCGGTACCATGTCCGCACTCCCAGGAAAGAACCCAATCGGCGATTGGGGCGTCAATGTTGCCGGTTCACCTCCAGCTGCTGCCGCTCCCGTTTCTACTGCTGCTCCATCTGCTCCAGCTGCTCCATCCCCGACTTCGACGAAGCCAATCAAGGGTGCAGTCAACGCAGAGGTACCAACGGAAGTCAAGCCTGTCGTATCACCCGCGCCTGTTGCTGGCGACAACGGAGACGCCCCGGGGGCCACGGGTGGCAAAGCTTCCTCCACAACACTTACCAAAGCACCCGTCGCAGTCCAAGAGGCTGAAGCAACCGGCGGCCCCGGCGTCGTAACATCGTACGTTTACACCACTGAAATGTTCTACAAGACCGTCACCACAGACGCCGCTGCACCCGTAGCCACTGGATCGAGTTCCGCAATCGCAGGCTGGACATACACGGGCTGCTACGAAGATGACACCGGCGCCAACCGCGTCCTCAAAGGCGTCGAGTTCGCTGACGTTGGGCAACACTCTGTCACCAACACCAAATGCGTAGATTACTGCGGCAAGCGTGGCTTCAGCATGGCCGGCACCGAATACGGAGGCCAATGCTTCTGCGGAAACAGCTTGGTGAAGACGACTAAGATCGATGACAGTCGCTGCTCGATGCCCTGTGAAGGGGATAAGAGTCAGGTGTGTGGTGGAGCAAAGGCACTTAGCATCTATACCAATAGCGCGGCGGGCAAGATCCGGAGGAGTGTCAGAGCGAGACATTTGAACTAAAGCTCCCTAAAACTGAGGGATGAGAGATTTTCATGACGGGCATTGGATTTATCTTTGCTCGTTCTATTTTCACTTCTATTAAGCACAGCCAATGCTGATGCGGAACCTTTTTTGGCACTTTGGCACTTCTCTTCTATTTACATTTTTTCTGCCCTAAACGGGAAATGAAATTTTATTCTTCGGGGGCAAGAGCGCCCGCGACCGGAGGCTTTTTGTATATTTATAGCACTTTGCTTAAACTTCTTGAACGCTCCAAAAGGCTTGGTGATGTTGGGGAGTTTTCTTTCTGAAAGGATGTATTAGATAGATGGATGGAAGAACTTTTGCTTCGAAATATACGAAGCCTTACGATCGTTATGACCCAAAATACATGAAATCGCAATTAAATTGCCTTTACCGCTGAGTTTTATTCTCCGTTGCGGTTGTCTGTTAACTTCGTGTTCCTCGACATGGATGTGAAGTGGAATTAGATATCTAGAACTCGTGGTGATTTTACATGAGTGATGATGAACGATATTAAAATCTGGTCTCTCCGTTCTAGGGCCCGTTCTTATTAGGACTAATTCCGGTTCTTGAGATAGCCTACGATACTACCTATGTATGGAGTAGAATGCTATTTCATAGCATTAACCAATTCTTGCTCTACAATAGCTCAGGTACCAAGCCAGACCGCGGCGTTCAGGTTTATAAGCGAGTTAACGGGAAAGACAGCCAAGCTGGACCAATGAACTGCGAAAAACCGGCCCAAGTGTCTCGGATCACTATATGGCTTGTGGATGTCGACGTGCAACAAAAATGCGGAATGTCCGAGCCGAGATCTCAAAAAGGGGCGTCATCACGTGGTATGGGGTGGTGAGGCGGGGAACCGGGGGCATGGGATCTCTAAAATTCCCGGATGCTTATGAGGACTCGGAAATGGAAAGTAGAGTACCTAGGTAGGGTGGCTACATTTGTACCGTTTGGTGGCATTGTTCAAAATATGTTAGAAATCCCTTTTACTAATTTTGTGTTAGAGGAGGTACAAGTGATACTGGCTTATTGTAATTTGGAGATATTTGGTCGATGCTGGGGGGGGGGGAACAATGGAACATTTAACAGCTTGAAAGGTTCACAGTGGTGGAAACGCATTGGTGCGAAGCGCAAGTAAGCAATATTATTCTTGCAAATTATCTACCTGACTTTTATTTTAGCACAAGCAATATATCCCTTAATATCGAAACCGAACAAGATAACTCTACCTTGTTACCTTTTCCCAACAAGGCGGCGGAGATTTAAGCAACACGGCCCTTGACTTGTCTCAGATCCTTAACACGGAAATCCTTCCAAATGGCAATTAGTCCAAAGCATGGCACTAAGAACACCGTAGCGGCGATAGTCAAATACCACATGGACTCATCATACGCATGAATAACCGCGGTTCTCTCAGGGCTGCCTATAGGATACAGTAGTTGTGTCGGCAGGCTCCCGTACAGTTCCGCATTCAGTGTCTTGTTTCCAGGCAACGCCCTATCGAGCGCGGCGGGGAACTTATTGGTGTAAATGGCGCCTGAGATAGCCTGGCCGATAGCTCCGCCCACAGAGGTGAAAAGCGCGATGAGGGCAAGCATGGTGGCGACATGCTCATGGGGTGCTGCGGCCATTACAGCCATTTCCTCGCAAATGACGAGTGCGCCGCCGCCGAAGGCGATGAATATTTGGCACATGACGACGTAGCCGATTCCTGAGCTGGCCTGGCGGAAGTGGATCATTAGGCCCACGCCGAGGATTTGAAGACACATGGACGCCATGGCTACCCACTTGAAGCGGCCTGATATCCGAATGGCCACCGCGACGACGACGGACCAGAAGCATGAACCGATACTAAAAATGTTTGCGACGTATCCGGCGTTGGTTATCGAGAGGCCGTGGACGGCTTGGAGGTAGTTGTAAAAGTACGAGTCCCATAAACTGGAGAAGGGGTTAGATTTAAACTGTAAAAGGGGTGGGAGACATACTAAAAGCTGATGAATACGAAGCAGGAGAGGAGACAGGCACCGAGGGCGGATCGGTCGGTCAGGAGATGGAAAGGGATGAATGATTTGGGGGCGAAGAATTTCTCATAGGCGGCAAATGCAAAGAGGCAGACAAATCCAATCACCAGCATGGCTATGATCATTCCAGACCGCCAGCCTTTCGACTGGTAGCTTGCGAGCGAGAATGGGAGAAGGACCAAAACGAATCCAGCACAGATGAGGATCAAGCCAATGACTACACCCACGCCATTAGCAAACATTTCGACAAGACCCGATAAGACCAGACTGACAATCAAATTCCCAGAAATAGAACGCAACACTTTGCCGAACGGTCCGTCCGCTCTCCTCTTTGACCAAGAGACCGTCTCGGATGGCCTTGCGTTGATTGACCCAGAGAAGCGTAAGAATAGGGATCGTAATAACGGGGGTCACTATCGCGAACGTGCCATAACCCCAAGGCCAGCCACTTGTCTCGATGAAGGACTGGGCTGCTCTGGGCCCGATGAAGGTCGTAACGATATATGGGGTTGTCGAGAAAGCAAAGACCAATGCTCGATTCTTCAGACTCGAGGTATCCGCCATGAAGACGTCCAAGACATAGGTCATGCCATTGAAACCAACCCAGTAAAATACCTAGTGCGATTAGACTATGGTTTTTCCAGGAAGCTTGATGGATGAATTGCATACTTGCCCGGCTGCATAGGTCTCGACGTTGCGACAGGCTGCCATCATTATAAGAGCTGGAATACACGTTTCAGTAAACAGAACAGAGAGCAATTGCAATACAGAGCGCCTTACCAATGGTAGTGAAACCGGTCATGATCGCAAAACCCTCGGCACGTCCAACGATATTGATGAACTTAGCGGTGGGTAGCCTGAATACGCCGCCAACAATGCTGGAAATGATCGAGGTGGTACCCGTCAAAGGGAGCAAGGCGAAGGAGGATGTTACATAGTAACTCAGGTTGAATTGGATCTGCTGTTGCATAGAGATCATGAAAAAGACCAAAAAGATACTACATTAAAATCAGCTCTCGAATTTAATTATGCTAGTGTATTTTTTTAAGACCGCCCACTCACAAGGCATATGCCATGATCAATTCGCTCCTCGTCCAAGTCAATGTGACGGCTTCGACCTTCTTCACACCTTCTTGAACGTCCCTGCTAGGGACCTGCTCCAGAGAACCATCCTCGTCGACAGTGGCACCAGTGTTCTTCTCGGCGTCGCCATTCTGATTCTCAGACGTGGCTGGTGGATTATCGCCAATGGCGATGTTACGCTCCGCGACCTTGTTGCTACGGAATCCGTGGAACTTCATCGTGGCGGTCTTCTCGTCCCTTGCGTGAGTGGAAAGGCCCTCCCCAAAGCCGTCAGTGGTATGAGATGCAGGTAACAAAACAGATTTTAGGAGATGGAGAGGACGATCCTACGAGGGCGGCGATCGTCGAAGCTTTATTTCCTGCAGCCTCACCCCTCTGCTCAGGTCCTGTCGATCCCCGGAGCATTAGGGATTTCATGGGAAGGACGTACCCATGTTCATCAAGGTGGGGGGGGGCAACGAAAGAACGGGGTTTCCTCCACTTTCGTGCATAGTTGGTGAGCTTGTTAACCGCCGTTCTATCTGATATTTCCCAGAGTCTATACCCTAATGGCCCAGTACTAGTCTGGGCGCATTGCTGGACAACTTTGGGGTGCGCATGGTTGACGGGTACTAATAGCACCATACTTCGTTGAAGTTCAGAGTACTCGAGTAAGCTATACCTATACCTATACCTTACCTATAGCGCAGTAGCTACGAAGCTTGAGGGCGACCATCTTTTCCACATGCTATAGAATACAGGGCGTAGTGTCGTACTGTAGTGCCGCAGAGTCGCAGAGTTTGCATCTGATTAGATTAGGCACCCTCTCGGCCGGTTCGCGCGGCATATCCTCTCCTGGTGTTAGTTGTCAGTGCTAGGGTCGACGCCGTCGTTGCGCTATCAGCAAACTGCTACAACACTCTGTCCTTGTACGAAGGACAATGTATGCGAGAGCGGCTATGGATTGCCCGATCCAACCTTCAAAGCCGTTGCGTTGCATGTACAGTACTCTACCTCGTACAAGTAACTCAGACTCCGTCCGACTCGACCTGTCGCTGGTGGCGTACCGGAGATGACCGGAGAGTCTTTTGTCCCTGTTGTGTGTTACGTGATCGCTTATGTCGCTGTTGGTTATTGGGAAAGGATCAGATAAGATGATCTGATTATTATTAGACATTTCCAAGACCGTGGGGCGACAAGTATCCCCGGGCCGAGTGGGTTATTTGCGAGTCAGTGCGCGCGCCAATCCTTCTGGTTGTCTTCCCGCCTTGGCCTTCCTGTGTTTGCAGTTTGCAGTTTGCAGTTTGCTTATATACATCTACCATCACCCATTATAAACAAGTTTCATCGATACCATTCGACCTAAACCTACCGGCCATATACATTATACATACTACGCATAGTCACTACGAAAACAAAGTAACGCAAAAAGAAACTGGCAGCCGTGCTGTAAGGGATTAATGTTTGATGGCTTTTATAATGCAACGGGGGTTTCCAAGGAAATAACCGTTGGTCAGATAGCCTCTAGTGTGAGGCGCATTTTAGAAGCCCGTGGATGAGAAGCACGGCTTCAGGTTGAACGCCTCCACTTCTCTTGACTCAAATCTATCTAGTTTCTCAAGACGGCAAACGCCGCGTCCTTTATACTCTCCATCGTGCCAAACGCGCCACGCAAGGCCTTCAAGCTTCAAGTATCGTAGTTTCTTGTTGTTGAGGGCGATTTTGCGGCCGAAAATCTCATATTCTTCGTCGGTTAGTTTCCAGCGGGTGTGGTGGAGGGATAGTTGCTCCAAGCACGTCAGCCCTTTGACCCAGGTGAGAAACGCGGATTTGATCACCGGCGTGATATACTCTAGGCTGATGGAAAGAGCTTGAAGACTGGGAAAGGTCGGAAGAGGAAAGGCGCCATGCGCATCCAAAGATTTAACAGCCTTGACTATAGTCAACATACTTGGTCTTGAACTGTATATCGTATCGATGCCTTCGAACAATGCACAGAAATCCGAGATGTCCTCCCCCTTTGAGTCATCCAATCTCAGTTGGCTTAAGTATCCCGGCTCGAGCTCCTTCACCCATCGTTTTACTTCATCTGTGACTTGGTAAAAGCCGAAGGTGCTGAGTTTGGGACAGGTAGAGGGCGTGAAGTTGCCCCACCCTATGTGGGTGTCACCTTGTTCGATGGAGAGCGCCATTTCAAGCCCACCATTCCCGATGTACGCTTCCTCCAAAAGCGCAAGGTCCGTCAAACGATCAAGATAATTCGTCGGTTCTTGCTGTTCGTCTTGGAGTGGGGTGAAGCTGAGTTCTAACGCTAGCTTGCGCAGCTTGAGTTGTCCGCCACCTCTCGCTACATATTCATCAGTTAGACAATTAAAAAACCGGATATATTCGTCCATCTGCTCTTCCGTTCCGTCCTGCTCGATACGAAACAGTGTGTCGGCGTTTAATGATAAGCTGAGACTCCCCATATTGGGAGATTTGAGTAGGATATCCACAATTCCCCTCCGCATGTCGGTGAGATCACCATGAATTTCGTGAATTTCGAGTTCGATTAAATCGGTGAAGAGCGAGAGGTCCTGTGTCGCAAATAAGGGACGTAATTCCCAGAGCCCGTCACGGTGGTCCCAGCTAGATTCGACGGCTATGCCGAGCATTCCCTCAATATCATATGGATAGTGGACTTTCAAGGATTGAAGACGTGGACATTGGTGGTATAAGGTCGATAAAGTGGTCGCGTACAACGGTTGATGTTCCCAACTGCGAGGGCAATAAAGTTAGTACATTACAATCACGCCCATTGCAACACGTACGAGAAACGTATTAATCCCCTCGTCCGCAGTAGAAGCTCTTGCGCGGCTTCATTATACAGCTGGCACAGCTCCCCCTCGGAACGATCTGTATCCGGAAGTGGTTGACGGCGAATAGTGAAATCGAGGGTCTTGGTATATTTCCATGACTTATTATTGAGAAGCCCCTCGAAGTCCTCGAAGAGAACGTGTGCATTCTGCTCCGTAAACCATACCTCCGCATACAGAAAAGCCGTGAATGACGCATTGAAAGTCCTGCTCGTTAGGCATAGGTCGTAGAGTAGTCTCCTGTTTAGTACACACTGGCCGAGGCACGCAAGCAGCTCGGGGAGTCTGGCGAACTGTTCTGCCAGAGAAGGCATCTTTAAGGAGATACCGTCAGTGGCAGTATCGTGAGTTAAGGAGCGTAGTCAAATATTATATACCTTATTGTTACCTCTCTGACGCTTTGCTCGTACGGAGCATTCACCTCGCCTAGGTAAACGGACCTGCAGGCAGCAACCCCCCGTTCATCGTCGAAACACCCCACAAGGCAGCGAAGCTATAAGTAATAGAAGCATTGGTACCTAGATTATGTATTTTGTAAGCTCCGACTAGATTATTGATGTTAACAACTACGGACCTCAAAAGAGGTAGTTAAATACCTTAAATTTTAAATGCTTTTTTCATTATTATCCTATAGTCTCAGTCGCGGTGCCTTACCGACCGCGCAAGTCGCGTGAACGGGCCCACCACCGCGTTCAAGCTCTATAATACGGGGCTCTCCCCCGTCACAGAGGTCACCTCTGGAACCCCTTTCCAACACGCCTTTGCTCAGTCCCTATTATAAGCTGCACATTCTTGCTGCCTTTGTACCCACGCAGAATGCCCTCTCATGGGCCTCCTGGCAGCTGAAAAGGTGGGCATTTCCATTGGCCTTGAAAAGGAGCTCTAGCTGACCCCGAATTCAGACCCGGCGGACCGTTCCATGCTACGAGAAAGCTGCATAGCTACCTAAGGAGGTACTGTACGCTGCCTACACCACTCTAGGCAGCTTCCTGTAATAGACAAGATCATATCAGATAAGATCAGCTGGCACTAGACAATTACCAAAGCCAACTTCAGCCCATGCAACTGGCCAGCGATTGGTATCTCGTTTATCGCCGAAGCTCGCCGATTGGTTTGCTGGAGGCCGGATGGATTATTAGATCAAGATCTTCAAGTTGGCAGTCATCCCCTAGCATTATAAAATCTTTTTCGCCTACATCTCTCAGACTCTCACCGATCTTCTTAGGCTACCTAGGTACTTGACGTGCACCTTTACTAGAATATATGGCTGACATTGAACAAGCCCCTCAGCAAACGGAGACGGCGGTCGAGAAGGAGAGAGATGGAAATGAGGCATTCCTCGTGACTTTCAGTCCAGATGACCCGGAAAACCCCCAGAATTGGTCGAAGAAAACCAAATGGGGCGTCACGGCAGCCTTGACTGCAACAGGCTTCAACCGTATCATGCTCTCAACCGTAAGACTGCCTTTAGAGTATTGAAATACGTACTTATAAACTCTGCTTATAGATAATGGCATCCGCAATTAACACCATCGCAATCGATCTTAATATGACCAACCTCGAGTCAGTCATGTGTCTCTCGGTTTATCTACTTGCAACCGCCCCTGGCCCCCTTGTGATTGGCCCTCTATCGGAGATATACGGTAGAAAGCCGATTATTCATTACCAACGTCTGGGTCTTGATCTGGAATCTTATTTGCGGGTTTGCCAACTCTAAGGGTCTGCTCCTCGCCTCCCGCCTTCTGGCCGGTTTTGGTGCCAGCGCAGTATACGCCCTTGGATACGGTGTCTTGGGTGATGTCTGGCCCCCCGAACAGAGGGGACGATCGCTTGGTATCTACCTCCTGGTGCCACTCCTCGGTGCGGCCTTCGGCCCGATCCTTGGAGGGTTTATCACCGAGTAGACATCATGGAGGTGGAGATTCTGGTCGACGTCCAGCTTGCAAGCAATCCTCGCGGTAGCCTCGATCCCCTTCGTTATTGAGACATATGCACCCCTTCTCCTTCACAGAAAAGCGGAGAGCTTGCGTAAGAACACGGCCGATCCTCGGTACTACGCCGAGATTGAGACGCGCGAAGAAGGCCGCTCAGCCGCCTGGAAGCTGCAAAACAGTCTTTCGAGGCCTCTCCGACTATTAATGTTCCATCCTATTGTGCAGATCCAAGCCATTCTGGGCGCCATCAACTATGGACTGCTATATTTTGCCCTTTCCAGCTTTTCCAGTCTTTTTGTTTCAGCCTATGGCGAACCAGTTTCCATATCTGGTTTTCACTACATTGCCCTATGTTTGGGTGAGGTTGCTGGTGCCCAGATTTGCGGTCCTTCGATGGACTACACTTACCGCAAGCTAACGGCCCGAGCGGGCGGCAACTCCTCCCCCGAGTTACGCATACCGTTAATGGTACCTGGTGCAATCCTGACGCCGATAGGTCTCCTGCTCTATGGCTGGGCCGCTCAATACAATATGTTCTGGCTGGTTGTGGACCTCGGTGCTGCCGTCTTGTCTCTAGGTATGCAGGTCTTCGGCACGACGCTTCAAGCATACGTGATGGACTCGTACCCCGAACATGTTAGCTCCGCGTCGGCTGCCACGCAGTTTTTGCGTAGTTTAACTGCTTTCGCCTTCCCGCTCTTCGCTCCCAGAATGTATGAGACACTAGGATACGGTTGGGGGAACAGTATGCTGGCTTTCCTATCCATTGGAATAGGCCTACCGTCGACTGGGTTGCTTTGGCGATGTGGTGCTAAACTACGAGCCAAAAAACAGTCTAGCTACTAGAGGCTCTCTGTCCATCCTACTGCCTACAACCTGTTTTTCCCCAACTTATATTCTTATCGAATCTAAGACAAGAACTAACACACTTGCATCTGAGCTGTCGACCAATTGTTCAGGGCACTGTGTGAATTTTGAATATTTATAGTACATTTCACTCTATATGTCTCAAGTTGTCCATTTGCTTCCACTCATCACATTATACGTTATCTGTTTCACTCCCAGCCAAGTGGTATGGTATAGCTCTACCCTGTTTTGATATGTGGGATATCAGTCCCAAACTAGGGAAGCGCGAATGGGGGGAAATCCCAAATCATTGGTGGTGATTAAACGCGTCACCTCGCATTGATATTATACGAGATCTACGACCTGATTAGCAATATCAAATTCCATGTCCGCATCTTGACACTTTGAAAGGTCTGCCGAGGGTTACTCGGAATTCGCTTACACATGTCACATTCATTCAACTCATTATCCGGCCAGGCTATCCCTTTAAGTAAGAGTGCATGTAGTACAGCTGCGGACGTCCGATTATACCCCTCGAGGAGCCCAGCTTTTTCATATCTATGTAACTGATTCAACTGATCACAACAGGAATGTAGACTAACAGTTGAACATCCAAATATACCCTTTCAAAATGCAGTCTGACCTCCATTCCTTCGTACCACCAAGTCTATCATTTTTTACAACCCTTCCCAAACCGAGCACGCTGATATATACAATCTCCCCACCACAGATAACCACAACGGAAACGACTACCCCGACACCGGCACCGAGTAGCACCACGTCAAGTTCTAATATCTCAAGAAATGCCACGATAGGGGTTGTGGTTGGGACAGTTATTTCTGCTATCCTCGCCGCCGCCGCGTTATTGTATTCCTACCGCTGTTACCGAAGACGAAACCGAATGGCAGCGGGAAAGAAAGGAACGGATGATGGGACACAGAGTGAGACGCAGATGGCCCAGGAGCTTATTACGCAGCATAACGCTCATGAGCTGGGGACAATTTTTAATGTATGTGAGCTGGAAGGTGATAACGGAGAGGTGTTCGCGGCAGACGCGGCACGGGCTGGCAATAGCAAGGGAGTACAGGAAATTGAGCCGGAGGGGAGGCGAGAAAACAAGAAGATGAAGATAGTAGAACCTCTTCCGGATGGCCATTTCGCTGGGCAAAAGAAAAGAGAGCAAGAGAATAAAGCGGCGTCTGAGAGTGAGGAAGACGACAAGGCAGGAGGGCTACAACCCGCATATGCCAGCTCTCTCACTACTGGTAGCAATAGGGAGGAAGAAAAAAGCATACCTACAAACTCTGCCTCATCTAGCACACCCATACAACCTATTAACCCACGCAAAACTACTACCTCGTCCCACGACACCGGAATTATAGCGGCTCCTCTCTTCCCTCCCCCGATTCCGCCAAAGCTAGAGTCGCTAGCAACAATTAAGGAAGAAGGAGGATAGGTCAAGAGCGAAACCGAAAGGAATTTTGGACACGTACCGAATTAGTAGGTCCTTTTGGGGGAAGGGAGAAGGAGTGAATCGTGCGACGATGGGCGACCTTGGAGCCGACCGCTCCGAGCAAAAGCTGCCTGTGATATAGAAGGGCAGTTGGCCGAATACACGAACCGTATTCGGCACTTACCACTCCAGGCCACATCACCTGGCTCAACAATTTGAATATATATCCTGAATTTCAGGCGTTTAAATAGCCCGGAAGGCAATGAGTCGTGGAGGCAATCGATAGGGTGCAGATGACAACGAGGATTAGCTCCCACTTTACAACCTTTGAGTTGGTTCTGCAATTATCTTTACTGCTCTTTATGGGGCATATGCGACGTTCTATGGCTACTACTCAGTCTTATCTCCAATACACAACCGTATGGTTGAAACTGCCTTTATGACTTATAATGTAGTGCTGTGCGCTTTAAATTCCTTATTAGCTACTCCGCATTCTGCGAATCATCCTCCATGTCTTGAATAATTGCCAAGCCGTTATTCATAAACTTCCTATATGCTAAACCAGCAGCCAGCCGCAGTTCCTCTTCAAGTCCTATAGCATATTCTTAGGAGAATTTGGTCTAAAACTCTTTTCGCTATTATTATAAGACTCAACAGCCATTACCTAGTAGGTACGCGTATATAACTCCGATACCGCGCTCCTATACTCTTTCTTATAAAATTTAGAAAGTCGGCGAACAGTACTATAATTATTATTTAAATATCTAGCCAGTCTCAAGGTGAGACTATTCCTAGAACCAGGCCCCCATATTTGACCGAAATTGAGACATTCAAGTCGCGCGGATATCTCAATTTTGTCAGCAATCCCAGGAGTCTGCATTATGACGTTGCGAATTAAGCTCGTAACAGAAGGCCAGAACGCATATTTAGCATTAGGTCTGTTAGTAGTCTTGAAGCTTAGCATCTTGCTCGAGTTCTGGGTGGCGGGTGTGAAGTGCAGGGTGCAGAACAACAATTTTATATTCTGCTGGCCTCCCATCGTTCTGGTATCCTACTATGGTCCACCAAGCAATATCAAACTCACCCTCTAGGGGACTAAACCGGGAGAGTGTTTTGAGTTGACCAGATGATGTCCGCTCCCTTCTCAGGCTCACCGAACATATGACTAGCATTTTCGTCCCCAATGTGGTGAGGTACTAAATGCGCAACCTTCATCCAGTTAGAAGGATGCTTTTTTTAGTAACCGCACACCAAGTCTCTTGCTTATCATCGGGGTTGGAGCACAGTTCCTTCTTTGTATAAATTTTCCACATTATTACATGTCATTCGATTCGTGCCTAATCCTACTAAACAATACTGGGATTGTCCAGTATTACGTAGTCTCACGTTGACAGCACCGTGAAGCAAAGCAAAGACGCTATCTCTGATCATGGTACGGGGGCTCAAGTGCCTCGCAAACACCGCAAAAGGTAAAAATCGACACAATCTTGCGTTGGCACGGCTGCGGTCGTTCTACTCTATAGTCTATGTTGCAACTTCTCGTCAAAGAAAGCAAGAGCAGCAACACAGAGAGCATCAATACCCGTTCGCATCGTAGGTTGTATTACCGGCGCAAATCTCGCCGTATGATTAGCGGGAATATCATCAATTCTCCCCTCCTTCAGCCTCTGATCCCACAGCCCTTCCTCTATTCCTCCCCAATGCCAAAATGCACAAGGTCGACACTGCGATGTGGCGAGAACTGAAAAGTCCTCCGCGATGGTAGTAGTTGGTATATTTGCATCAAAGTCGTCTTTAAAATACTCACCAAAGCTCTTCACTAGCGTTTTCATCATCGACTCGTCATTCACGGTGTTTGGCAGGTGCCGAGTCATTTTGAATATGGGTGCGACCGTCGAACCGCTTGCTTCGCATTCAGCCTTGACGATTCGCCGGATTGAGGCCAGAAGCTTCTCGCGCGTTTCCGGTCGCACGCTACGTATATCGATGCCAATTTCTGCCGAGTCTGCGATGATGTTCTCTGTATGCCCGGCTTGCAAGCTCCCGACTGTCAGAACGGAAACATCACTTGGATTGATCTCTCTACTGATGATAGTCTGGAGGCGTACTACAACGTGAGCCGCCATGACCGCAGGGTCAATCGTCCGGTGTGGCTGTAGTCGTATATGTCAGCTCTTGAACGGAGTAGATAATAGACTGTGTAGTAACCACCCACCTGCGACCCATGGCCACCAACCCCAAACAGTGTAATTTTCATACTATCCGCCCCGGCCATAATCGTCCCCATCTTCGATCCCACGCTTCCCGCTCGCATTGCCATCACGTGCTGGCCGAGCACAAAGTCGGGCAGGGGGATCTTGTGCTTATCATACAGGCCATCATCTATCATCGCCTTCGCTCCGCTGCCACGCTCCTCTGCAGGCTGGAACAGCACAATTAACGTACCGCTCCAGCTTTGCTTAAGCTTGAGAAGCGTTTCAGCTGCAGCGAGGAGACACGTCATGTGCATGTCATGGCCGCACGCGTGCATCACCGGCCGCACGACGCCCTCGACGTCGAGCATGGTGACTGTGCTGGAGTAGGGAAGGCCGGTTGCCTCCAAGATTGGGAGGGCGTCCATGTCAGCGCGTAGGAGGATAGTTTTCCCTGGGCCATTTTTTAGCACGCCGACGACGCCGTGACCGCCAATATTGGTGGTGATTTTGAAAGCCTGGAGACGCGATAGTTGATCTGCAATCGTTTTGGCAGTTTTAACCTCAAGATTCGAGAGCTCAGGGTGCTCATGGAAGTGCTTGTAGAGCGCCTCGTATTTCTCGGTGTCTATAGGTGCTGCGAGAAGTAGGTCGGTTAGAGAGCTGGTGACTCGACGATTTAAATCCATAGTCGAAGGCTGTAATAGCGGCATTTGCCTAGCGAAAGGATTTATTAGAACAAGGCAATTCTGGAACTTTATAACGGCTGAGGTCTTTACTTGCGACTTAAGGTCCTAGGTGGTTCTGCATAAGGGTGGAGAGCAGTAGGATACAGCTCGAGGGATTCAACTCTGAATGTCAAGTCCCCGCTCGACGCCTGTACTAGTTGTTGGGACTAACTATAAGTAGATATAGTCAAAGTAAGGGCAATCCAAAGTATGGATTATCACGATTAATGTAATTGCAAGAGTATGGGCCTTGTGCCCGGTTATATAGGACGTGTCTACGCCAAGCCTGACTCAGCAACACTAATCTATATACGTATTTCTAACGCTCCCCTATTTAGCACTTAGGCTTGAGTATCCATATTCGTCTTCTAATTTGATCAAATATATATATATATATATATTTAGAGCTAATTACTGCCTGTATTAAAGTCCTAGCTTAAGCCTTATTAGCTCCTTTAACAGGTCTATTCTATAAGTTGCAAAATTCAACAGTTAGACTCGCGCAGTTAATACAAAATATCAGTAGTGTATATACAAGAAAGTTAACATAATGACACCGTGGCCGACGTAAGTCACCCAAAATTAGACATTGCTCCGTACACAACAACAGACGAAGCGCAAAGGTCGCAAGAACTTCGGGTTTAATAATTTCCGATCTATGGCGACAATTAGCTACTACTGCTTATCTATTTATGGGGAACCCCAAGATTGCTGGTCCAGCCGATATGATCAATATAGATTCTAGGTTTCGCAATATAACTTCTCCGAGCTAAAGACTGTCGATTATCGCGCGTTGATTTCATGCCGTCCAATATTGCTGATATATCCCAGTTTGCGCAGATGGAGCGACGTGGTTGGTGATGGTGATGGTGATGGTGATGATGATGATGGGTTTATTTGATTTAGGGCTGAGCCGATGCAGGGGCTTCAGGGGGCTTAGCCGAGCTTGGGTGATGGGTGGAACATGAAGCTTTCCGCCTCAGGCAACGATCAAGTTGATTCCACCTGTCCATCGTATCTTACGTTCGACGTGTCTTGGCCCCAACAACTGGCATGTGAACACAATACTCCGTCCGTACTTACCCTAGGTACATATATATGGTCCTCCACCCGGAACGCAGCTCATTCAGAGCTAGAAATACCACCGCCCCATCTTAGCTTTCTGGGTGTCTATGATCATCCCTCTTTACCATATTGGCGCATAGAAATGATTGACTCGGAACTTACCTAGGAGCGTCCCTAGCCCGTCGGCACCAGCTCGCGATGGTTGAACATCTGGTACCGCCATTAGAACAGCAATCCCAAGCGCAAAACCTACGAGAAGATGCGCTCAGGCGACTCTCCCGGTCCCCTCACCCATACCACCGACAACGATTCGAATTGCTGCATGCATCCGAAAGACTCGAGACCGATGCTCCCCACGGACTATCCCCTTCGAGTTCGAATCGGAATACAGACGATGAGGGGCAGCAAGGGGCGCGGTTTTCGCCCGAAAGATATCGAGAGTCCACGAATAGCGATAGTGGCACCGAGGCTGATGATGAGCATTTTCTGAAGGGTTTACCAGCTCCAAAGCTCCGGGCCCGCAAGGGCCTCCGAGGCGCAGATGTCAATCTCTCTAGATCACCGAGTCCTCTTCCATCCCCAGCAATACAGAGCATTGATTCCACCAAGAAACTACAAGGCTATCTGCGGAGTTTGGATCGGCCAGCATCAGGCTTGAAAGAGGATGCTGTACGGAGGGTCGCAGATAAGCTTCGACAGAAGCGCAGGGACGAGATTGCAAGGAGATTACTGGAGGCAGCGCTTTTGGGAGGCATTGCTGGGATAATCTGTTTAAACCCCGAAGCAAGGCAGCTCATATGGCTTTGGAGAAGGGGTAAGCATCTGAATCCATGATATCGACCGAAGCTAACAGGTACAGAACTGGCAACCCAGTCTCTCATCACATTATCTTTGATATCCTTATACCCATTTCGATTATTACGGCATATAAACCCTTCTCGGCCATGGCAGCGACCGTTTCCGATTGCCATCCCCCCAGCTTTTGATCCGGCTCCGTTGCTCTATCCACCGCTTATTACAATGCTCGTGTCTCTTTTGCTTTCCATAAGCAACCCTGCCCAGCTATTACCAAGCGTCATATTGGCCATAGCTTCACTGCCGAGGCACTTGATACCTTCAATCGGAGGATTAGAAGGATTGAATGTATCCCATTGGTTGCTTTCTTGCCTTGTTATGCTATTCCCACAAAATGATCGGACGTCTACATTGCTTGAATCACCTCGCTCGAACACTAAAATCGATCCGGAAATATTGGTTATTTTACATCCTCTTCACCTGGCATTATGTGAGACCTTAAGTTACCTTACAACGACAAGTCTGCTTCCTGCGGAACTGCAACTTCTCTCAATATCATTGATCGAGTTATTGCTTTTAAGCTCGTCTCCCCAGGCTATCATCCTCAAAGTTGTGCTTTGGGGCTGTGGTATTGGGGTATTGATTACATGCTCACACGTGCTAAAATGGGGTATAACATTAGCTAGGGTCCCGAAGTGGCGCTTTAGACGTCCTAAGATTTCAAGCCTGAGCAAGAAGTCTGGTCTCTTTGGGAAGCTTGGCGGCACCTACTTTGTTCCAAACGGCGCCCTTAGCGATTCGAGCGACGAGGACACCATAGGGAGATGGGCCACACGTTCATTCTCGTCCAAACTCCAGCTGAAAACCCAAATCTCACCAGCAAATGAGGAAGCATGCGAGAATTGGTCAATATCAGCCATTGAACCTAAGATGGAGCATAAATCTAGAAACAGCTTTGCATGTGCGGAGCCCAACACCACGTTCAATGTACAACGAAGACATACGATGTCAGCCGTTGCCGATACTCCCATCAAGTCTAACAAAATGACCCGATCAGGCCGCAGAAAGAGAACTGCATCGTCAAGTATCCAGTCATTTTTCTCCCTGACACAAACGCAAGCAACTGCGCGAAAGTGGTTATACGCAGGATGGGTCTATACCTGCATACTAGTTATAATTTTGGGTCCCGTCAGGGAATATGTTGGGATATTCGCTCTCTATGGAAACGAGCCGGTAGGATGGGCCCTAGGCTATCTCTTTGGAGATCTTCCCTGGTTCAGGATGGAGGTTGTAAAGGCCAACCTTCAGCGATGGATCTGCCTCCCGCCACGGAGTGGCGACGAGAACCAAGAGTCCTGCCACTTGGGTTGGGTTGAGCATCTAAGGCATGCTTCGTTCGGAGAAGCTAATACTCGCTTGATCCTTTGTGCATACTGGTTGGCGATCATCGTGGTTGGTCTAGCGATCGTTTTCCGCCTCTCTACCATCTATGAAGTTGATACTCGACGGAAGGTCTTCCATTTCATGATGGTAGCCATGCTTCTTCCCGCCACCTACGTGGACCCAACATTTGCATCACTCGCACTGGGATTGATGCTTGCCACTTTCTTATTGCTCGACTTATTTCGGGCATCTCAACTTCCGCCGCTGTCAAAATCTTTGGCGTATTTTTTAACTCCTTATGTCGATGGGAGGGATCTCAAAGGACCCGTCGTCATTTCACATATTTTTCTTCTCATCGGGTGCGCCATTCCGCTCTGGCTCTCACTGGGAACCCTCCCAAGGACTGGCAAAGGTTATCTTCTTGGTTGGGAGGTTGCCACTAGGGAAGTCAGCATGGTCAGCGGCGTCATCTGTGTTGGTTTAGGGGACGCTGCAGCGTCTTTAATAGGGCGACGCTTCGGCCGTCACAAATGGATTTGGGGGGGCGGCAAAAGCATTGAGGGCAGCGTAGCTTTTGCTTCCGCAGTGAGTATGGCGTTGGTACTGGCAAAAGCATGGCTTAGAATTGGAGGCTGGCCCGGGAATAATGATAATACCTGGGCCTTAACGGTTGGGAAGGCGGGCGTTGCTGCGACTGTGGCTAGTCTTACGGAGGCAGTGCTCACTGGTGGGAATGACAATGTTGTTGTCCCCATTGTGCTTTGGCTTTGTGTTAAAGGGTTAGACATTTAGATTTGGACCTGGTTCTGCACAAGATCCAGAGCGCTGCAATATCATATAATCTTACGAATATTTGATTTACTAATTCTCCACGTCTAGGCCTCTTAATGATGGAGCCTTGAAATTGACAACCCTAATACTCTAAATCAGTAATTCGCTTGGTAGAGTATGGGCCGTTATGTGGCGGGGGACTGGATTGGGCTGTGAGTACTGCGTATTCGTATTCCAGAAAGCTCTCCAGGCTCCGAAGAGAGAATCAGACCATGTCCAGACTCCACAGAAAAAGCCATTCTACCTCTACCCTTAAGTTAAGCCAGTACAATTAAGCACGGCATTGAACCGAATGTATTAACTGCAGTTCCAGCCCAGCCTTTCGCGATGGGCGCTCAGCCTTCTCCGACAATCTACCGAGGTCGGCTTATGACGTTGCTTACGGAAGACTGCTGTAAGCATCACCAACCACTCACCAGCTGCTGATCGACCACTACGACCACGATTAACCATCATTACTAAGTTACTATGTAAGGCTGAGAAGTCTATTTCTTTGAAATCCCCATCCACTCGATGACTATTCTTTAGCTTTATTTGCGCTCCTCATCCCTATAAATAAGACTTCTCATTCTTTCCGATGAGGGTGTTGTTATTCTTATTTTCAGCAACTATCGCATTTGTCTCGGTCCTGTACAAAGACACAATCGCAAGTCACCTAGCAGCACTCGCCACCTACGTCGACCCCACCAACACCACGCCCTTCAAAGGCCTACCGTTCCTCCCACTTGGTATAATAAACGGCACCCCGAAATCGCCCAACATGTCAATTCCACGCGCAATCCGCAAAGCCTTTCTGGCAATTGAGCAGTCGGAAGGAGCAGGCGCCACAGTGCGTCGCTCAATCGGCACCCCTCAGCTCCGCAACTTCTCTCCATTCCTTATGCTCGATCATTTCAATATAGCACCAGGCGCTGGGTTTCCAGATCATCCACACAGGGGCCAGGGCAAGTTATAGATGCTCATCTGATAAAGACTTATACTAATACAAAATAGAGACGATAACGTATTTGATCGAAGGCGCTGTAGACCACGAGGACTTCGCAGGCAACGCCGGGACCATCGAATCCGGAGACCTACAATTCATGACAGCGGGGAGAGGAATTGTCCACGCGGAGATGCCGAATCAGAATGCCAAGGCAAACAGAGGTTTGCAGCTATGGGTTGATTTGCCGCAAAAGTTGAAGATGTGCGAACCCAGATACCGGGACTTGCGGGCGAAGGAGATACCACAAGTTGACGTCGATGGGGGCAAGGTCCACGTCAAAGTTATCAGCGGCCAAAGCCATGGCATCGACAGCGTGAAGGATTTGGCATATACACCTGTCTGGATTTTCGATATCGAGATCAAACCAGGCGGAAAAATCACACAACCGCTGCCTGTAGGATGGAACGCTTTTGCGTACATCTTAAGTGGCCGTGCGGCATTTGGAGTCGGCAAGCAGAAGACCTTCGTGGACCAGTACCATAATGTCGTATTTGAACAGGAGGGAGACGAGGTGATCGTCGAAGTGGATGAGAGCGCCAAGGAGAATAGTCGATTAAGTAAGCACGCCTTTCCTCGCTTATTTTTCAGCCACAGAAACCAATATAAAAAAGGAGGCTCTCGCTCCGAGGCTCCAGGCGGGAAAAAAACTGGAACCTAATCTAGTGATTACAACGCCAGATTGAGTCCCGCTATTTCTATCCACTATCAGACTCGCTTAGATATTGGCGCTTCTAGTGGGGCGTCCAGAGTTTGAAAAAAGTTCTTTCTCCACGGCCAAAAAACAAAGCTTCAACGAGCTCAAAAGAAAGACAAAAGAAAGACAAAAGAAAGACAAAAGAAGATATCTGTCTCTAGCTTGCATCATCCGTGAATCGAACACGGGGCCCATCGAGCTTGAATAACTGCGTTATATGGCAACGATGGATTTTACCACTAAACCAATGATGCTGTTGTAGATTTTTGGTGTTTCGCTTATTTCTATTTATTTGGGTGTGACCCGCCGCTTTACGGATTTCTGATTTCCGATTCTCGCTTTCCACAAGGCGGCTTTGCGTGTCCCTCGTTGTGACTACCAGACTTCGTATTTTCGGTTTATAAAAATTAAACTAATGATGCTTTTTCGCTTTCTGGTATTTAATTTCGCAATACTACTACACACCGTGTAAGTTAACGCGCATTCCCAAACGGGGCCCGGAGGTGGCCCCCCCTTCAAATCTGAAGTTCAATTTGATTTCTCTAATTCCCCTTTCCATCCGCTTTCTCACCCAAATCCCCGCTGCACCCATATCTGCTGCACCCAAATCCACTGCTCTCATACCTGCTGCAGCAAACTCCCAATCCTCTTAGCTGTACTTTTATTTGTACTCTTATTTGCACAATCATTTGCTCTTTCAATTATCTCCCAGTTGCACACAGTCGCCATTGCTCTCACCTTTCACTTGACAAGCGACCTGAATATGCCTCGTCGACAACGAACTCGCGCTTCAAAGGGCGAGCTCTTAGAAGATGCTAAGAGGGTCAGTCTTATCAAAAGCGGCCCTGCGAAAGTTGCTCCTCCAACCCAGAGAGGATACGATCTCATTCTTGATTCGTGGAACGAGTAAGAGATTTGTTAACTCCTCGTGAGGCGAAGCAAAAGACTCATATAGACTATAGTTATAAAGCGCGTATTGAAAAACCGGATCTGGTTCCTGATGTGACTTGGTTGAAATCCTTTTTCCGAACAATGGCAATCGAGCGGGTCGGCATGCTACATGACACACTCTCCCTCCACACGCTCAGGGAGTATGTGACTCGATTTGCAACTGCATATAAGCGAATAAATAATATAACATTCACCCGGATCCAAATTAAGCAGGTCAAAGATGTAAGATTCCATTTCAATTATCAATACAATACTAATAGGATAATAGTATATAGCTGAAGACTTAAAAGCCGAGCTGGGGCTTAGTAGTAAAGTCCGTGAAAAGCTGGTAATAGATGATGAGGATTTGACGAGTATAATTCGCTTCCTATGGGAAGAGGATCAGTATATATTCAGACGAGAATCTGAGCGGGTTAAGCTTACTTTACTTGTTCTGATTCTTGTATATACTGTGGCTCGACCGGGTGCTGTTGTAGAGAGTTCTGCATATAGGAATAGTACAGAAGCTCTACTATACAAGGTTAGTTATATATCTAATATAAATTATACGTTATCTAACTAGGAATAGGATCTAAAATTCTGTATTTCACAGGATAAAAATGGTGGACCCCCACTAAGGAGCCTCACAATAACATTCAACTTAATGAAAGGTGACAGAGAGGAGGACAATAAATAGTAAGTAAATTTAACAGCAGGGCCTCGGATAAACTCTATAAGACTAATATCTTGTAGTATCTCACTCACTCTCTGGGAAGATCTCGAGTTTCCTCATCTCTGCCCAGTTACGTTTTTCCTCGCTGTAGCATTCGAACATAATGCTTTCGATTGCCGACCAGAAGACCTCTTCCCCTCCTCGATAGACAGCAAAGTTATAGAGATTAACTTTAAAACCACGGTTTTAGACACTCCTCTTTTCCGAGGACCTGATGGGGTTTCAGTATGGCAATATAATAATTGTGCATCCCATATAAGTGAACTTGGATACCGTGCTGGATACGACTGCAAAATTACCGCCTACACCTTTAGACGAGGGGCTGCGAATAGATTAGTTGGTAAGAGGAACAAATATAACCTTTCGAGTAGTATTAACTTTATCTTAGCTTCCGGAGCAACTGTGGCAGAAATCGGCCTAATACTAGGCCACAAGAACCCAAAGACGTTTCAACTTAGCTATAGCCATACACATATAGGTGTCGAAATGCAGAGCGCATTCCATAACCGACTAGTACAAACTAGTCGGGTTGACGCACTACGTGGCCTAGAAGTGCACCGCATCGCCGGTGCTCCAAGATCAATACAGGGCACAGCAGAGTATAATAAACTCCTACAACACCCGGAATACCTCGAATGCCGCAAACGGTGTGAGGAGCTTAAAAGCAATGGCTCAAGTAAGTCGGCTATTATCGACGCTAAGAGGAGGGCAAACACTGTTATAGCGCGTCTTAGGAGGACCGCAAGTAGGGCAAACCGGGAGAAATTTATTAAAAACAAACGCTCTTCACAGAGCCAACCCGATAATACCGAGACCGAGTTGGCTGCAGATGCGGGCTGGGACCTCCCTCCCTGGCGTGCAGAGGTGTGTCGGTTCATGTTTACGCCGTTGGATACGTCAAATAAGCAGCGACTTGCGTTACTCTACAGTCTTCGTGCGTTATTTTTAGTTCACAACGGCAAGCCAATTGCAGCGAACTTTGAACGTTTTTGCCCGGTCTATAGCTGTGTACGCTCTAAAAAGAGTTTTACAGAAATTGGAGCTCTGGACGCACACATGCACCGACATCATCTGGGGGTTGTTCTGCCATGCCCCTACGAAAAGTGCCCACGCCACAATAGAGGGCTCACAGGTCATAGATCTCTTTTCAAGCACCTCCTGACTCATGCAGTGGATAAATCCTCAAGGGAAGACGTCTCGATAGTGGATTACTCCTTTATCGAATATTCCCCCTTCACGCAAAACGCCTTGAAAGAAGATTCCTCTTTTATGGAGAACGCCTCGAGAGAAGATGAGTTCTCAATAGAATCTGCCTCTACAACGGATGATTCTCATCTGAAGTGCCCGCGTCTGCACTGTCCACGCAATAAGAAGCCTCTCCGTTCCGAGTCGGCCTTCGCTCGCCATTTACTGTGCCACCGAATGCGAGATGATTCTGCAGCAGGTACCTATCGTCTAACATGCCATTATCCTGACTGCCCACGTTTCTCAATGCCGTTCAAATGCGTCGCGTATTACCGTCGCCATTACAACAGCGTACATCGTGAAAAGGAGCCAGAACCTTTATTGCGCCACTCAAAGACTTTTACAAACATAGAGTCTCTTGATGGTCACATGAAGGAAGTGCATGATCTCAGCATTGATTCTAACAGTTCTAGGCATAGGATTGATAGCTTGGACCCCCCTCTTTGTATTGATCCGCGACTGCTAAACCTCGACCAGCAAGGAATCATAGGATGGCAACAAGACGCATAATTTGAAGATTTAAGATGGATCAAAGGCTCGTTAGAGCAGCTTGTAAAATAATGTTATTGTGCTTTGTATCTGGGGAGTTTTTGTGAAAATGAATTAGAAGCAAAAGATAATTGAATCTCAACTTGAAACTGCAGATGAACATGTATAAATCTTTTCTTATGCCACCAAAGAATCTGAATTCCTTGAAGAGATTAGAGTTATTCATGCAAGACCGGCAAGCGAAACCTAAACAAAGTAGTTAACTATCTTGACTCGCGGGCACGACTCTGTCAGTGGTGCCACCCATGAGCGATAGTAAGTTACACGTACGCGCCTAGTCATTGAGTCTTGCGCAAAATTCCTGAATTAGATTATCCGCAGCGGCCAGGATATGAGCCATTATCGCGCGGCTCGAATAAGTTTGCCTTCTCGAGCTCATACTAAAAGAAGCCCGGGTCTTGCCCTTGAGATTGCTCTATACTTGGAACTAAGATTTTAGACGACAAGGGATTCGAAATACAATCAATACTCATTATCTTATTTGTCTAAAGGTAACTGAGATAAAGCTACTAAATGCTCAGCTGAACCATTATTATAATTTCCATAAGTTGACTAGATCAATAGCAGAATGTTGAAACTTTAATATTTTATGTCGATGCCATAGATGTAACACGAATAGCACCTGTTATTTACTGTCGAAATTATTCCAAGTATCTATGCCCCCATCCTTGGCCTATTCAATCTTCGACTCTGTCATGGATGTATTCTAAACGAAACTCTGGGCCTTCCGCATAAAAATATCCCCAACACCCCTTCAAACCGACTTGGATTTCATGGTCATTTTCTCCTTCCAAAGAATGTACTGTGTAATCAACAGCAAAGTTAGCTGTCGTAGACGTCTGGTCGACATTTGTTGTTGCCCATGTCAGTCCTGATAGCTGTCAGAAATTGGAAGCGCCAATAGGGTGGAAGTATGACCGTCAACACCAAGACCTGCCTGAGTAGGAATTATTCTCAGCTTGCTCAAACAATCCCGATTGAATGCAAAGCTCTTGAACGACGGCTGATTATAATATTGCCAGTTTACTTTCTCGTCGCAGAGGACATTCCATTCATAAAGAATGTTACCTGCCTCCATATGTTCCAATACTAGATGCCGATCATCAAGCCGATCCTGTAACGCCTCCGAGATGTGCTTCCACGAGTAATTCCGGCCGCGCATAATGTTCTTCAATTCCCTCAAAACCTGGCGATCAGATATTGATTCAATGCGAGAAGTTTCTTGCTTTACCCACAGATTTAACTCCCCAATCATTGATTCTCCATGGCTCTTACTTGAATACCACATTGTGGGATTAGAAAAGTTCATTATTTTTTGCTCTGGAGCAAAGCACTCCAAACATAAAGCATTTCAGAAATTTTAAGAGTTTTAATTTGATTTGCAGTTCGAGAAATCGCGGAATTCTGGATGCGCATATAAGGAAACCGGGAAACGGAAAGTCGACAACTGTAATTTCCAATCCTAGGGTTCCGCATTCACAAGCAAAGGGGCTGCACGCGAAAATGTGTATTAACAGGAAGGGTCGCTGCTATTAATAGCTCTTCGGTCTCGGCGGCAAGTGGACAACTAAGTAACAATAAGAGAAACAAAATAAATGCGAGGCCACCCAAGTTAATCCCATGAAATCTAATCATGGAGATTAATCGACTTCAAACGAGTCCATTTGACAGTGTCCCCGAGGAAATTTTGGACATGATACTCCGGTTTTTACTTGATCGCAAGGAAACAATCAACATTGGCTTTTGTCCAGTGAGCCCTCGTTTCTACCAAGCGTACTCAGTACCTTTAGTCTCCCAACGGTTTTGCAGGGTGGCGGAACATATCATTTATCGCGATCACAAGTTCGAGTTCTGGGATACTAGTATCATTCTAGGTTCTTTTCTGTCGAATTTACGGCCTACAACACAAGCAAAATTGACCGACTTACGTATCCAGTGGCCGCATCCGTCGTGGGGAGGTTTTGAGGAAGCCCTCGAGTTCCTCGATGGCTGCAAGGGCCTCCAGCGACTAGAGTTCTCCTATGTCCCGCCACACATTCGTAAATCGCAATGTAGGCTCCTAAATAAGCTCCCTGTAAAGGGCATTTGGTTTCAGATGGATTCTTGCTATATTCCCGACTTAGCATCCGTTCGATCGTTTGAGTGTGCAGGGCCAAGATTGATTGCTTTGCGACCAAGACAATTCGTGGTGAGTGACCCTTGCTTCTAGGTAATTGCTTGCTAACCCGATCGCAAGGCTGGAGATGGCTATCAAGGATTTTTAATTGAATGAATAAGTGCCAGATGACAATATCATGATCCTCAAGAACGGTTATGAAATAAAGGTGGACTGCAAATTCTTCAGACACGAAGGTGTCAATGCAAATCGAGAGATGGTTCGCTACCCGACTGATTTACTTATCAAGTTGAAGGACGAGTACCACGATAACAAAGTAATAATGCCCTTTGCATCGCTAGCCAACACGCCCCCAGCACTTGGCCAGACTACAACCCCCGCAAATCACCTGTGCCCTGGATGTTTGTCGGGGTTGGGAGGTTTACCGTAGTAACGCATCGGGTTGGAAGAGAATCGGGGGTTCTTGTTGGCGCTGGTTGCTCAAGAATTGACTGAGAGTTGGAGGAAGAAGTTCTAAAGATATTAGCTGGGCATTATAGAACAAAACAAATACATTTACCTGAAATCAATAAACGTTTCTTTGATCCTTATTTCGGTGATCTTTTGCCTTTTAAGGGTATTCTAATCGCAGAGCCCGCTATCTCCCGACGAGCTGATCCATTTTCGCATTTCGAGCTGTAGGGATGGCATGCTTCACCGCATAGTCGACCTAGTAGTTTACAAGGACAGTAGACCTCTGTGGCACATTTGCTCTTACAGTCACAGTGAAGGGCCTGTGATATTTTCTGAACAAGGTCAGATAGTTCTTTAGCGTTTGAATTGAACTGGTGGGGAAAATTTGAGATGCGTAGGTGTAATGCGGAAAGAACTCCAGCAAGTTGAAGTGGAAGTTCCTCGTTGGTTATGCGCGGATACTCAATCTCCTTTATAATCTGTTCAAGGATTACTACCATCCTTCTCGCATCCCAGAACACCCCGCCGTTCATGGCGCAATCCGCCAATGTAAAAGGAGCATGCACGTTATGGTTTCCTGGAAGCATGATCAAGGTATCGCCAGGATGTAGGACAACGAGCGGTACGCTTTGGTTCTGGGGTGGCGTCCAGTGCTCACCCATATTTAAAAAATCGGACCAATCGCTTTCCGACATTGAAGGTATAATAGGCCATAGCTTAATACCAAAAAGGCAGCGAATCCAAGCACCCACGGCCATTGAATCCTTATGCCAAAGGGAAGCAGAAAACCTTTGGCCCATAATCTGGAAATTTCGACGTTCCTCGACGTCGATAGGAGAATTGTTCGGGGTCGTCGTTTTCCCAAGAGTCCCTGTAGATACGCATCTTAAGAGAGTGACAAGATCGTCGAGGATGGAAAAGAAATTGCCATGAAAACTATCATTAGGATCTACTTCCATATCTAGTGGCCTCTTGCCAGCTAAGCAAGTAGGTTCGGTAAAAGATTTGGGCTTTGAAGCCAGATTGAGAAAGTTTCGCGGCGGCGTCGTCTGTGTCAGGCGAGGCCCTATATCTTTTAAATCCGGGAGAATTTTGGAGAGTGGAAGAGCGATTGTAGCTCTTTTGTTTCGCACCACGCTCACATCCTGAACGTCAATAGTCGCATCAACTCCCTGAGCTACAAGCTCCGACATTCTACTGATAATATCTTCGAGAGATATTGCTGTCCGAGACAACACATCCGAAAAATCCCTGATTACCAGAATTTTACCAGTAAAACAGTAACGACTATCTCGTAAAATTCTCGCTGCATGGTACTCATCTGCAAAAACCACATCGGAATCGTCGAACGATGAACTAGACCTGGCGTGAGGCAGGCCGAGTGGAATATGAATCTTTGGTAGTCGTCCAAATCGTAGGGAGTCCTTGATGTGATCAAACTGTAGAGATAATAGAGTGTTCGAGAATGGGATATCTTCAACATGTTTAACAAATTCTGGTAGGTCGTGGTTCCACATATGTGCGTGCTGTGCGATAGGATCGCCCCAAAACTGGACAGCCATGGCGCTTTGGTTGGTTCGCTGTTCGAGCAACGCTTCCCGAGTTGGACATTGTGGGCGAGTGGTTGAAACAGACATAGCATTAGAGTGAACGACCTCATTTTGTTGTACAGTATCGTTTTCATGCCCGTGGAGCCACCCTAAGATAGTTCGTATATCGCTCCTCAAAACGCCATCATAGCGCTCTAGCAAGGAAGACTCGAATATTCTTTGCCCATATAGAACGCGACATGTAGTCCATTCCTCCAAAACTAATCTGCACATGTGCTGGACACAAACAATAGGCTTATCTTCTTTGCCTTTGCGCTTCAGGTAGTGACGCTGTCCGTCCCATTGTGTTTCCTCAAAAACCGAGCGCTTGGGTCTTTGTCTTTGTGGGGGCTCAGAGGATGCGCCAGGTGATGCGACCCACCGGCTCTGTTTTGGGGGATGTTCGCTGAGATGGGTATTCCATTTCGACTCTATATCGCAGAGTGTGCCCTCGAAGCTGATAGATGTAGACATACTACCAATTATTGAAGTAATGATGTTGCTGGCTGGGACACCAGAAGGACTTTCCAAGACACGTCGAGCCGCCGGAGCCTGCGCTTCAAGTTGCGCCGGGGCCTGCGCCGGAGCCTGCGCCGGAGCCTGCGCCCACAAATCAGAGCCGCCCAAGACTCTATGCGCAGTACGAAGTACACTAACAACTTTGAATGTATCACTTTGAACAAACAACCTCCTGCTCAAACCACTCAACCAAGGCAGACTTAAATTAACCTTGAAAGCAACTGGGGCAGAGGAAGTTGGAACATACATCTATTATCTGGCTTTTGTAACATTAGGTAGATTTATTGGCAAAGTATCTAGCGGAATTTATTGAGACCTAGGGATAACTTGACGCTGATGCGTTTGTATTACTCAAAGATTGCCAGGCAATAAAAAGTCTTGGTCCAACTGAAGTTTGAGAAGCCATTTTTCACATCCCTCCCTCGTACACTTGCTGCATTTGCCACCTAATAGCACTCGTTGCTGACATAACGGACATTTGCTGCACTTGTCACATTTACCCTCCGAAGCAACTCGTTGTGAACACCCCTCGCATTTTAACTGGGTGTAATTCCGAACCCATCCTCCGGTCGCTACACCCTTTCTCATTTTTTCCTCCTTGTTAACTTGAAAATTAAGTACAAGCTGATCCATCATCTCCTGAAGCGTGTCTTCCGATTCGTGTGTCGTTTCTACCTCGATATATTCAGGGCTGATCGACCCCTTAAGCCACTTGTTGCCTTCGTGAATCTGTACTGCCGTCAGATCGATATGGCCAGGGCTGTCTGTTGTCATAGGCTTCTTCCGGCTATAATGCTGTTCTCTCATCCCAGTCGTAGAAGACCGCTTTCTTGGAGGTTTGTGTGGAAGTTGAAGATTCGTTCGACCATCGTTCATAGCTATGTTTGCACGTCATATTAGGCTAACTTCAAGTACTAGCTCGGGATGCTTACCGGAAGCTCTAAGGTAATGTGCAAAGGTATAGGGTAATGCGCGCGGTTAACAAAGTGCTAGCTGCTCCGGTTGGCGTAGATGCATATGGTTCGAAAGATATCGTAAACGGAGATGGTGCTGAAAAAGGATATGTTGAGGGAGATATAATAGCTGGCACTTCAGAGATACCATGTTTACCTCCGCAGATGATGCGACAGGCATGCTTAGAGACAGATCCAATAGGAACCTTTCTACCATGGGTGTAGGTTGGGTTGTAGAACTACTGTCATTTTATCGTCCTCGACAACTTAACCCGCGCGTCAAGCCCCCGTTAGGCGGTCTCATGCACAGATACAAGTCAAAGGTTGCGGAACAAGAGGGATCTACAAGGAGCCTTCATTGGTTGATAATAAACGTTTCTCGAGATACCACTTGGGATCTGGCTCTAACTCGATGCAGGCGTGGGAATTTCGCATTATGAGATTTGTTGACCGGAGATAATGTGACCGGTTTAGTCCGAAGGGGATTGAAATGTACTGTTGACTTTGGTGAGATTTGTTGTGTGCAAAAGCGGTATGAATAGGAGAGTTGACTACCACCGAGCTTGAAAGAGCAGAACATATTAACGGGGGACATTGATGGGTGACAGAAAACGAAGGATACGGACGCCAAAGACGGATCTATTGCAGCGCCATCCGAATCCTCACCACGCACTCGTTACCCGATCTTAGGGTGGGTGGGTAGCTAATTGGCCCCATGACACATTATTCCTTCGCAGCCCCCTTCGTATTGCCTAGCAACCCCTTGCCAGTCTGGAATCCCCAGGTCTCGCGGTCTCGCGGTTAGGAGAGTTGGCCAGCAAGCATACATTGGTGGTAGGTGATAGGCGGCCTCGAGGTGGCAGCTACCAGGCGTGACGGAAAAGTCCCCGGTGGTGTGATTTTACGAATCCCGGTCTAGCCTAATTTAGCCTCGAGCGCGGGCATGATCACACGGGCGGCACGGGCACCACCATAGAGACCCACCCGCTGCGCCCCGACATGATTGCGGCGGCAGGTCAGGCACCAAGCGATTTTTATTCGGATGTTGAGGTTGTGCGAAAGACTGTCTCATACACTACCCATACGGATTCAAACCGGAAGCCCCTCCAAGCCCCTATGAATCATGTCTACCCCAGCCAAACCTATCTCTATTGCCCCGAGAACATTAAGTGTCACCGTGCAAGACTATATGAATGCGTCGGTAGGGCAGCAATATTGGATCGGACAGGATATTGTATGGAAGAATTTTCTCGTACGATATAACAACTAAGTTACCAATATAATTATTTAGTCTGACCTTGGTTTAGCAAGCTCGAAATACATTTATTCGGGAGCAATTAGAACGAGAAGGGTTATCGCCAAAACAATTTAAGGACCTAAGTGCAGTGCAGAAGCGTTATCGTACAAGCCAGTTAGATCGTGTCTTCGCTGCCGAATTCTTCGAGCATACTCGCGATGGCGGGTGGATGCAGGACGCTGTTGGTAATAACAAGAGTTGGATATATATTCATGGTATGAGCGCATGGCATGTTAAATCGGCCCTCCATGCCCTGGTCAATAGTAGCGGAGGTATGTAGGCATAGACTCAGCAGTCACAATCATCTCTCTCGTACAGTAGTAGCTAACCTCTCTAGGATCACCTGCAGATTCGACGGCTACGCCTACCGAATCGGCTTCGTCCTCCCAGCCCGCCGATACCGTCTCCGCTGCCGCCACAGATGTCGATCAATAGAGCACCCGTTTCTAGGTTCTACCTGTGGATCTTACTACTTGTGCTGGCTAAGTCGTTTATGCCTCGCCCTGAGCTATGCCGAGAGCATTTTGGCCGGCGACCAAGTATAGCGGTAAAGCACGCTATCAGTTTAATTCCGGTCTATTTCACGAGATCTATTGCATACTCTAGCTAAGGAGAGGGGGCTGCAGATAGTAATATCAGCGAAGAATTATTCCTACTAAAGTATCTATACTAAGGTTGTTTGATACCGGCGACGAATGATATCCTTATCCCCATCAACTACCCATTCAAAGTGCAAAGCCTCACTAGGTGCAATATCAATCAGCCGAAGTTTCAATCTAGTTGCACGTTCTATTCTCCATCCCCCTGAACGGAATTCTCGTATCCCTGACCTCTTTAGCTGAGGAACTTCCTGGATATACTGAGCAAGCGATACTTGCAACCGGTACAAGGACATTTGATTACCAAACCGTTCCTTATACGAACGGAGGGTGTTGGCATAAGACATTCCTCTATCAACAAAACAGTAAAATATGAACTGTTTCTCTTCGGAAGGTAGATTTATTTTGTAACTAGCGATGCTGAGAGCTGGTGTAGTCGGGATATCCTCTTCTGGTCTGTTGTTGCGACTTGAAGCCGTCGTGTTCGATGGCCGCTGTTGTACGTTTGTAGCGAATCCGATCGTACCTGACATCTCCATTCGAGAACCTAATTCTCTGACCCGGTTCTCTTCCAATTTGGACTTGTCGAGCAGCTGTTTCTTCTTACTGCGCCATCTTGTACACGCCTGTGCTGCGCGTGCACGCTTCTCCTTATCCACTAGACTGCCTCCTAGTCGTACACCAATCTGAATTGTGTAGGAAGAGGAGTTCACTTCTGCTCGTCTTCCCTTATCGGGGGTTCTAATTGTGTCTTGAGAAATCGCAGCCGTGGGTGGTGCCCACGGTTCATTGGTGTTGTTGGTGGTTTGTATTCTTAGTGTTTCTTTAGACAATCGATTCGAGGTTGATATCGTGGACGGGGTGCCGAGTCGAGGTGGGATATCGCGGTCATTGAGAATCCGTTGTAATTCCATACTTCGGCATATGATGAGGTGGTCTTGAAGGCGTTGGATTTCAAAGTGTAGTTGTAAAGAGTTGTCCGACTCCCTTATCATATAACGTACTAAGTGCTACTAGCACTCATAAAGCTCGCGTTTGTTAAAGCAAGTATAATGTCAATGGGCAGGGGAGGCAAGAGCCTAACCGAAAGCGAACTTTCTATACTCCAGTTACCGGGGCTACATAATTATTCAACTAAGCGTAGCAGCGGGCTGGAAATGGCTGCCGGGTCTCACTCCACGTTCTCTCCAGCACCGAATCAAATGAGTGTCGCTTTTCTCCATGTTTTCTCCAGTCGCCTCCAACTAAGGTAGGAGCGGGCCGGAAATGGCTGCCGGGTCTCACTCCACGTTC